GAACCTCCTTATAATCCGGAATGCTCGCCTCGGTGTTTGTCACCTGAAACCGGATGTGGACGTCACGTACTGCTCGTCACATTTATAATCCGCAATCAGTATGAATTTCGTGCGAGCCTTCGGTTCGGTTCGATTCTTCGCTTTTATAGGCTCCGTTTATCACTCCGTGCCTATGGTGGTTCTCAACTCGATACGATAAAAAAAAATCCAAGAAACTCTTTCTAGCCATACAATCTCATTTCTTTTTCCATTCCTTTTTTTTTTAGCAAAGTACAATCAGAGATAATGTTGATTCAAATCTTCTATAAAGTACCCTCGTTGAAATCTTAATCCTACTTGGAATTATCTATTTTGAGGCCTTACATCGATTTTGAAATGATCTAAGGATAACTTTAAAACAATTGAGAACCTGCTTTATACCTAAAAAGTGGCAGATATTTCTATTTCTTCTACTTATACGTCTGAAATAAGCCTTAATTCGGGTTAAGTTGGACGTAAAGAGTGAAATGAGACCGAGATTACGCAGATTCAAATTAGGACTTCGGGAACATTAATATCTTCTTATCACGCATCATTTCTCACTCAAGTATCGAAAATTATACATTTTTTTCCTCGTGAAGGTCTCCAGCTTAGTTTTGTTCTCTGGTTCATTTCATTTCATCTTATTTTTTTTTTAACTTCTGCAATTTTTAGCGATTCAATTTGCGAACTGGTTTGTGTCTATCTGATACCTTGGATGAAATTTACAAATTATCTTTCGTACGTGCCAAGAGATAAAGCATTAATACTTGCATTATCAGCGCATCGTTGGTCGTGAAAAAAGTTTGCCCCGGTCACTATGTCGAGTTTTACACCTGGAAATGCCCGTAGTAAATAGTGCGAGAACAATGGCTAGTTTAAACGTGTATAGACTTTTTACGGAGAATGCCGCAAAACTTACCCACGTAAATAGGTGACGCACTATTACAAAAGAAATGTAATGAAAACAGCGGCATAAGTAGAAATAATTGCATAAAATAACATTATCAAATTGCAACATACTTAACGTCGATTAGTTAGATTTGGCTAAAGCCTGGTCTTTATCAATTGCCTTAATTATTGTGAACTTCTCCACATTCACGTTTAGAATAAAAAAATTTAACCGTGAATGTGTAGAACTTAACAATAATTAAGACAATCAATGACGACAACGATTTATCCAAATCGAACTTATTATCAATAAATTATTCTTAAATTCAACTTTCAGGTTTAAAATATAAAAAATCTGAATGCAACATTTTATACGGGGAGACGGACAATTTCACGATAATTAGGACAATTAAAATTGAAATCGTACCGCATTAGAACGTAAAATAAAAATGCTCCAACATTTTCATAGGAGTATTCTTGGCTGCTTGTTTCGTAATATGATATCTGCATGTCAGCAGTATGCAGAAATCAAATCGCGCTTTGCAGAAGTCTTTTTTTCCCTCCATAGATAGATACAGTCTCGAAGAAAGAAAATTGAAGGCTCGAAGAGATGGGCGTTTAAGTAACAGTTTGCAAATCAGATGTTTTGATTGATAACTGGTCCGATCATTGACATCAGCAAACAACGACGTCAGAGAAATTTTTCCTTGACGTTTTTGCAAAAGCTGTCGCACGCGGAGGAGCCTCCTTATCACCAGCGGAGGACGCGATGCCGACGTTATGTATAATACACCGTAACGATGGAGGGTCACTTGGACAATTCCAAGTCGGACGATATTACTGAATGATTAATTGATTACAAATTAACCGAAACACCGATATCGAGTAATCGTGGCGTCAGATACCGTGAGAGGAGAAATTAATAACAGATATCTAGATGATAGATTAGGCACTTGCTGTCATGAATGGCCGTAAGAATAGGTGTCCTTATCTGCAGGGATTTCACTGATAGTCATTGAGGAATTCATTCGGTCATTGCGCTGTCATTTTCAGGCCCAAATACCTATCGTGAACGGGCACACGAATTGTCCAACTCCCGCTAGAAATCGCCTTATCACCGATATCATAAAATCCACTTCGATCACTCTTTGGTAATCATTATTGCACTCTACTTCAGTCTACCGGCTTTTTTTTTTACGTGCCATTCAGCGGTAATTAAATCTGGTTTATTCATTATGCCGCTGTCCAATCTTTTCCTGTTGAAGTGACGTTAATATTTTCATTCCTCGTTTTTATGGGGTCACGTGACTGATCTTGTCAGTTCTGAGGCGCGTTAAGACGAAGTATTTGATTTTTTTATTAATTCCTATCAAGTTCGTGTAGATCAATGTAAAAATGTATATTTTCCTCTGGAACTGAAGTATTAATTTATATTTTTGTCGGTACTGTTGATCACTTTTTCTCATCTCCTCGGTAGTGTTTATGTAAATATGCAATTGTCTCGAAAAACTTCGTTAAAAAAAAATTAAATCATTGCGCGGTCCCCAAGCGCATTGGATGTGAAACTTCTAAATGAAAGAGGATTCTTCAAAAAATAATTATTCTTCATTACTCTTTCACGAAATGCCCTTACGTGCCGGTCCTGGTTGTCTTGGGCGTAAATAATTTTAGTTTCAGTTTTATTACTTTGATTTCACTTTAAGCATCGATAATTAAAACGACAACTGGACAAATGAATACTATATCTCGAAGAAGACCATTTCTGCGTCAGGAGTCGTACAAAAGTATTGAAAATCTTAAACGAAACAATAAGATGAAAAAACAAACTAGTACAAGAGTTATTAAATGTGTCACAGCGCTCTTTCCTAAAAATCCATACCTTACAAATGTCTACGTGATCAATTAAATCGGTATACAAAAGTCTCTTTGTATTGATTTCCTTTCTCATCATAGAGTATCGTTGAAAATTTCGAATACTTTCCTACGAATTCTTACATGGAAATGTTCTTCGAAATACATTCGTCCGATTTTCATCTCGAGTGCTCTTGTTTCTGATTTCAGTATCCGCTTATATTCGCGAATAGTTGAAATATCAAAACATTTTTAACACAGCGTACTCTTGACAAGATATAACGATGGTTACCGCGACATGGCGCTAGGATGGCGAGTTTATGGTTTACGATGGCAATTACTATTACGATCACGTCCGAACTAATTGAATTGTAGATAATATCGCCTTGCGGTTGCCCACAGCAAACCAGCTGGCGTAAATGTATTTACCCGTACCTATTGCGTTGGTTTTCGCGACACGACCTTGGCAAGGTAGTCCCTCTCGATGCGAAAACGCCGTTCCACGATTAGTCGAGGGTTTGCAAAAAGTATCTACGCCGTATGACTCCGTCACTGATTGCTGCGCTTTAGTCCCTGATCGTACATTCGGCAATTGACACGATTAGCTACATTGAATTTGCACGAGGGGAGAAAAAATATGGCATATTGAAAAGCCGAGGTTAATTGGTGGAGAGGTTTCTTTACTCGGCTTGGAATGATAAAAATGGAGTATAAAGTGAGAAAAGAAAAAATTCAACGCGTAATTACACGGTAATGTCGATTATAATTACAGGGTGAAACGGTAAATTATTTGTAAATTAAAAAATGCCTCGCTTGAGTTAACATGGTCTGCTCGCGAATTGAGTACGAAAATTAAATGAGTTGTTACAACGTTAAAGTATATACTACTTGCCGCGGTAAAGTAATTATTATTTATCTAATCGGCTAATAAATTGTGTTGGATGTCTGCATGTTATTCCGTAGATTGCAAAATGTAGTATACACGGATTTATGTACGGTTAAAAATGTACATAAGATGATACGTTACAAATTTATAAAACATACAAATGGAATGTTATAAAATTAATGTACCATGCCTGGATAAAACTTCCAGAAAACGTAATAAAATCTCGATACGATTTTTAACGGTGTAAAATATTATTTCCTGGGGTCTAACTGAAAATTCAAATTGTACAGGACGGCGGTAAACCGTTATTAATTTTTTAACCATTGTAATGATAAAAATTAAGGAGGTTTAGATATAGCGGTTAAAATGCGTGAGGAATAATGACGAGATGCAAGCTCGTTTGAAGACAAGAAGGGTTTTATTTGCCGTTGACAATTATCACTATCTCTAAAAATGGCCTCCTCGACATCCGCTCGGAGACGGATGGAGCACTGATTAGACAAGACATTGACAAGATGAAATGCGAGGGCCTTCGTTCTCATACGTCACATGTGACATTCAGGGGACAGGGAAGCGTTAATTGTCCATTCCGTTGCGTACGAAATGTTTTTAATTTCCTGAAATAGGAATCCAGCTACATGTTGATGTTAGTCGAGGTATCGCGTGAAAACAATTTGCGTCAGAAAGTACTTAACATAATGCAGACAGAGAGATTGCCTATTATCGTGCGATGCTACGACACGAATCTCGACCTTATCGGCGCCAAACAGGCGAAATGTTACGGAATACCCATAACAAAGCCAAGACGTCACGATGTCTTCGCCCTCCGTGATTTTGCGCAACTCCTAGAACTAAAGAGAGAGAGAGAAAAAAACAGGATATAAAACCAGTGACCGAAAGCCATTTTCCCTACCAGGTCTCACAGAGGCTAATCCTCGCTCTTTTCTACAAATTCGAAAGAATTTAAATAAATTGTATACACCGTTAAACATATTCACAAAGTCCATCCACTTTAAGTACAAAAGGTAGTAGTGATATTGCAAGCTCGATGTCTTAACAGTCCATTTGGTACATGCTTACAAGAAATTTCCAAATAAATCTTATATAAATTCATCTGAAAATATATAAAATTAGTACGCTATATCTGAACCAAGAAACTCGCTAGAGGTTTCGAGCCAAATACATTTCTCAACGAGAAACTTATAGGACTTGGTCAGAAAAAATGTTATAAAATTGCCGTATTACTTTTAACGGTGTAAGGTATAACAATTGGAATTGGAATTGTTACACCTAAGAGGGCAAAGCGTTTCTTTCTGCATGGTCTGTGATTTCTAATAGTCGTTCCTTTTTCCAGCCATCGTCCAAGGAGTCCCACGTCAACCATGAGCCTAATTCGCGAAAGGACCAAAGGCGCCGGAAAGATGTCCTGGGGTCGAACTCTTCGGTGGGTACTTTTCGTCAATGGCGACGAAGTGCTTCCGCCGGCAACAGGTCGAGCAACAACAACGATTCCAATTCCGCTGCCATCGCTAGAATCTCCAATGATCCTGCTACCATTCAGAAGATGGAACAATTCCCTCTGGTGCTGTCGGACACTTCGGTGCCGGAGGAGGACCTGTCCCTCAAATTCCTTGCGTTGGTAAATATCCCGTCCCACCTGTCGTCAATTCCTCACAGCCACAAGTGAACAACGTTCCGTGAGATATTCGATAATAAAATTGACCGCATAAAGTGAAATATCCCTGGAAAGCAATTTTTCGAAAGTTTCCTTCTGGATCAATTCTGTTGATTCTTGACTTTCGTGCCTTCCTCGATTTCTTCCTAGATTTTATTTGATCAAGTAATGACTAATTCCATGCAAATACATTTAAATTACCTACTTGCGTTACGGGCGTCACAAGAAATGATCAAAGAAGGAGATAATTTTTCAGTGTTAATCGCTCTTTAGTAACTAGAATTGTTGCTCATGGAGACTTTATTCTTGTTCCTCAGAACGCTTTGGACCTCACCGCCCCAGCCAGCGACGTGTTGCTGAAGAACAGGCTAAAGTCGTGGTTCCAGCTTTCTGGACACCCCGATGGTTTCGCCCCGGCAGGACCTGGCACCGTCTGGAAAAGGAGGTCCGGAGGGTCGGAAAACACCGAGAGACTCGTATACGAAACCTTGAGCAAGGACGAAACGATGCGCGACTACATCCCCAGGTATTACCGCGAGGTGGAGTACAAGGGCGACACCTTCATAGAGCTGCAGGACCTGCTCTTCGGGTTCAGCGATCCGCACGTGATGGACATCAAAATGGGCACGAGGACGTTCCTTGAATCCGAGGTTTCCAAGACCACTGCCAGGCCCGATCTCTATCAGAAGATGGTGGCCGTTGATCCGAATGCACCCACTGCTCAGGAACGCGAACAAAAGGCCGTGACCAAGCTGAGGTACATGCAGTTCAGGGAACAGCAGAGCTCAACCTGCAGTCAGGGGTTTAGGATCGAAGCTATGAAATTACCCGGGGCTCCGCCTATCACCGATCTCAAGAGGGTCAAATCCCACGAGGAAGTCCTCGCCACGATGGCTCTCTTCCTGGGGGACAAGGAGGACATCAGACTCAAGCTTCTCGAGCGACTCAAGGACCTCAGGACCAAGATCGAGGAATCCAGATACTTTCAAACGCACGAGGTGTGTTGGCAGTTGTTTAATTATGTCCTACCTACTGCACTGAGCGAATAATTTACCTTCTAGGAGAGATTAAAAGGATATGAAAAGCGCTAAGAAATTTAATTACCGTCGATAAAGTAAAATTCATCTATACCCTTTTTGGTGGCAATGCCGTTTTGTATACTCAAGTGGTAACATAAGCGGGCGCGTCCCGTTACCGACATTTATATTCATGGAGATCTCGTTTATGAAACTTTTCTCCAAACTAGATATACCGAATCGATTCAAACTTTACAATATACAAACAAAGGCTAATGAAGGTCCTAAAACTCACTAAATTTCAATTTTTTAAAATTTGTTTCTAGGCATTTTTAAAATTTGTCATAAAAAAGACCAATGAAAAGTTTAACGAACGATTGACCCTTTAGATGCCACTTTCATATCCCTTTAATATCAAACGGAAATGATCTTACGATAAGAATTTACGTGTACAAAATTGGCCACAAGTGTTGACAATATTAATGAAAGTTGTATCACATTTGTAATAGGTTATATTAAACTGAAACAACTTGGAACTTGATATAAAACATTATTAATGGTGAATGAGAATTGTTTAAAGTTGACGCAAAAACGAGTTCATCGGTAACTATTAGAGGTTTGCGAATAATATACTAGTTATTCTGGTAATTCTTGAATTCTATTGAATTATAGTTTGTTGCAAGGATGTTATTCATTCTTACAAAGTTCTGTACTCTTCAACGTGAATTAACTTTTCAATCCTAACATCTTCATGCCCAGTAAATGGTAACGATAATGACTCAAGTTGAGTTTAAGAAAATTGAATACCGCACGTAATTTGCTTTACTTTCATTCGATCTTATTTTATTGATAGTAGCCGTTATCAATTCGGGATAAGAATTTCTTTTTACAAGAAAGTGATTTTTTCACTCAGTGTAAACGGGAAAACATCTGACGGGAAATAATTATCTTATATCCCCATGTTTGGAAATAAATGCCGTTAATGTAATTCAATTCGTACGTTTCGTATTCATATTCAGACAGTTCTTGATAGTTTTATGAAATATTCTTTAATGAATGTGGATGGAAAGGTGACGGTCGTTCTTTCTTGTGTTACAGGTAATCGGTAGCAGTATTTTTATGATCTACGACAATAACAAAGTTGGCGTCTGGTTGATAGACTTCGCGAAGACTTACGAAGTTCCGGAGAATCAGAAGTTGACGCACAGAAGACCTTGGGAACAGGGGAATCACGAGGAAGGCTTTCTCCTTGGACTAGATAACTTAATTCTGACGATCGAGAAAGCGAACATTGCCTTGTGAAGACACCCGTTGACTGACATCGTTAATAGTTATTTTAGTTAATATAGTTAATCGCGAAGTTAACGTCCCCCTGGCACGCTTGCTTCGGCTCGCTGCATTTCCACGAATATTTAAAGACATTATTTATATAAGAACTTTTCAAGTAAATTATATTCTTATACTCGTACGCCTACTTTCTATGGACTCTAATTGTACGCGTGGGTTCGCCTGATTATCGATTCACTGATCTAATATAAGTTAAATTTGCGTATATCCGTGCGCGGAGATGTTGCGTTTAAATCTGCAAAAGTTCAAAATTGTATATACAATCTACGCCGTCAGGCTCGTAGATCGGCACAATCGACTGTCTTTGCAGTAATTAAATGTTCACTAGCGTTAAGGAACCTGCACATTCTTGTGTGTACTTTCGAAATAAAATGAAAGCATTTTCTGCAAAATTACTTGTTTTTCATTTCGATCTGGGAAACAAATGCAAACGACGGTTCAATCGGTTGCGCTAGGAAGAAAGAATCGCTTTTTAAAGCTGATTGACGCCTGAGTTTTTTATTGAGCTTTTTATTGCCCTCTGGTTTCGTACGTTAGCTTTCACCGTTTTTTTTTTTCCCAATTTGGGGATAAAATAAATAAGGTAAGTGAAGGATAAAGTCAAAAAGGGCGCCACGAGTGTTCTTCCCTTACCATCAAAAGCTAGCAGTGTCGGTAAGCGTAGGTAAGCCACCACCGTCAACAGCCGCATGGTATTACCATCACGAGTACGTGAACCGCCAACGGCGACTGGTAGATGGCACCGCCATCCCGAGTACGCGAGCCCCTACCAGAAATTCGTTGCGCCGCCCTTGGGGGCAAAAAACGATGAAAGCTAACGTACGAAACCAGAGGGCAGCACAGGATGCAATCGCGCGACTCTGCTCGTAATCAATCTCCCAACTCGTTTCTGTTCGGAATTGCAATATAATTTTGTTTAAGAGTATATAAAAAAAATATCGACATAAGTCAATTACATCATGACGAGATACTTAATATTTTTGTCTTACATTGGTACCCGTTACAGGTATTTACAGGTACTTATTAACTGCAATCTAACCTTTAAGATACAGCACACGTGTATGTAAAATGAAATAATCGTCAATGCATTTGAAAAAGATGAAATATGTTTTACCTTGAGCGACTCTTAATTCACAGTCTTCGTGGATTCATGTTAAACTTAATTCGCTTGTTATCATAAGACAAATTCTTTTATGTCATTATTTAAAGTAAAAGTTTTACTTCATGGTGAAGTTTTGCTTCATTTATTATTCACCTATAATTATCAATACCTTTTAGGGGAATACAAAAACTCACATTAAAACAAAAATTACAAGATACCGATACCATTCAAGGAGCATTAGAGTTGGCATTGATGACAGTACCAGGATGCACAAATAATCCAGTATTTTCAACTTCTAGCAGGTACTTTCGTAATTAAATAGTAATGTCATCTAAGAAAAAATTAATGAAAGGATTATCGGTGATCGCGTCGTGTTTAGTTGTTTGTTCTCTTTTTATTTGTAGTACTCTATTTCCCTTACACTTTTCATAAAGTTATAGGGTAAGTTAATACTTTTCACTAGACATGAAAATATGCATCGCAAGATCTTCCTTTTTAGGACAGATGCTGGAGTTCATGCATTATGTAACAGTGGCCACGTGGACCTCACAAATAAGTATAATAAGGTCTATGAACCAGTATCATTAAGAGACTGGTTGAATCGTTACTTCAAAAATTGTTCTCACGAAATAAGGTATTTGAAAACTTACTGAAATTTTAGAACTTCCTGTCAATAGTCTTAGTTCAATTTTAACTATTATTAGACTTAAAAACTGTTAATTGTTTATAAACCGTTTCAGAATTTTATCATGCATACCTGTGATGCCTGATTATCACAGTAGATATAATGCAGCTCATCGTACTTATATATATCGGCTACTGGTCCCTAAGGATAATTGTGAGAAGACATTACCTGTGAATGAAATAGATCGTTGTTACCTCTTGAAGTATGGTTCTAACATTAATAAATATACAATTTTCTCTAGATAATTTTATGTTATATAAGTAATTACTTTGACTAGGTCTTCCAACTTTGACGTAGACAAAGCAAGAAGCGTATTACACCTTTTTCAAGGACGTAGGGATTATAAAACCTTTACACGTATTTTGTCGAATGATACAAGAATTAAGTTTGTACGAAAGTTGGAGCAATTGACCATTGAAGAAGGTCGTCCTCTACTACCAGAAGATCCCCATGCTACAAACTTTCATTACTGGAATATCGTTTGTTCTGCTAAAGGATTTTTGTATAATCAGGTATAATCACATATCACAGTTAAATGTACTATTAGAAATTCTACAATCCTTTGTTGATTGATATAGATATAATAAATATAGTGATATACATTTTTTTACAGGTTCGTCGAATTGTTGCATCTCTAATCGCAGTAGGGCAAGGTCTTTTGACGGAAAAAGACGTTTACGTTATGTTGACAGTTCCCTCAACATCAAACTGGAATACTCGAGCTTCCACAGCTCCAAGTTGTGGTTTATTCCTTACTAAAGTGCACTATGATCCTGAAAACTTGAGAAAGAACACATTGTCAGAAAGTTTGGAAGCACAGTTTTGCCTAAATCGAGAGAAAAAGAAAAAAAATATCTCTGTATCTTGAAACCTAATAATTCAATACTAGTCTAATTTATTGATCTATCTACTTCAAACTATTGGATTACGAACATAGTATGCACAAGAAGCACGAGTCATATTGTTTGTATCAATTGGACGTTTGCCTTGTTGTAAAATACTTTAATACTACCAACACTACTCAGGAAACAGGGGAATCCTACTTGGGGAAACATTGTTTAGTTAATATAAAATTAAATATTTTTAGTTCCCCTTGTATTTTTCTAAGTACAATGTTTCCTACATTTGTTGGATTAACTGGATTCTATCCATTTTATTTAATTGAAAATAAAGGAAACATTTTCTTAACGAGACGATCTGATACATTTAAAGCGTAGAGAAATATTTTAGTTAATAGCAGCAGATATAATTCTTGTCTCCCAATAATGGATCTACTGAGTCTTATCAATAGAAGAAAAGCCAGTTTAAAGCCTTGCAGCACTACCGTAACTGACATGCAAGGAAAGAGATACGAGATTGTCAATGGCGAAGTGAAACGAATCTCGCAAGGTTTCGCATTTGTGATAGATACAAAACCTAACCTACAAGTGGCACAAATACTGCCTGGACTATACCTTGGTTCGCAAGATCCTGCTCTCAGCATTGAATTATTAACAGAATTTCAAATACATCACATACTGAGCATTGGTATTGATATACCAATCAAATTTGGTGGAATTCACTACCACTATATAGACCTGCTGGACTTGCCGGAATGCGATATTCTTGAAGCATTAAAAAAATGTATCAAATTAATTCATACCCATCGGACCGAGAACATTTTTGTGCATTGCAATGCAGGAGTGTCTCGGTCACCTGCCATAGTAATATCCTACTTAATGGCGGTGGAGCAGTTAGACTACGAGTGTGCTTACGAAAGAGTCAAGAGTACAAGGACCTGTATTAAACCAAATGAAGGATTCGCCCGACAACTAAAATTATTAAACCCAAAGGACTTATATTCGTACATCGAAAAGCTCCCCACAGGCAACTGATAAAACCCTATTTCAATTGTCAAATACTAAAAGTTTACAGTAAGTAACAATTGTGGTAAAGTTCGGGAATTATAGCAATAGTGATTAACCGGTGTGATATGACGTGAAGGTGTCGTCTTGTGAGTAAAATTGCGACACATTTGTGACCAGAGTGTACAAGCTAGACGATTTACTTTAACAAGTCGTTTTGCAATTGCTTGCTAGAAAGACTTGCAGTAATAAATTTGCTGCAAATTTGTTGGTGATATGACAATCGATGTGTTAACAAGATATGTCACAAGTTACCTGCCCAGGGACCCGAATCTTTAAAATCGAAAAAGAGTACGCAGAAGAGCTGAACTACGAAGATGCTTGCGAGAGGATTAAAAACCTATTTTTTAAAGTAAAAGGACTATCATCCTGCAACAGGAATTTTCCTCGATGGTCTATGAACAGGATCACGGCAGTATGTAGAAGCGAATTATACATGCACTATATATTATGTTAGACTTGTGTATTATGACATCATTGACTTATCGTATGCATTGAATAGTATTCCAATATAGTTACAATAATTGATGTCTACAACCGATTAAAAGAGTGGTACGTGACCATGTTGCATAGCTTTTATCTTCGCTCTCCTCACCGAACGAGAGGCATGTCTTTTTTAAATCTCCGAACACTGGCTCGATCTATGTATAGCGTGTCGCGTGTTGTATATACGCAACGCGTAGGTCGTCGTACCAAGTAGGCTTATAAAAATTCCTGTAAATCTAAAAAATATAATTAATTTCTGTATACCTGCGTTACTCTCGTACTCTCTTTCTCTCTGTCTTGCAATAATGACCACGCACTCTTTCTTAAGGTGGTTAGTGGGTTGCGAAATGCATTCTATTCAACGTGACTTTTTAAATGAAAATGAAAAGGATAGGAAACATTTGCTTACAAAGCTGTTTTATTTTCTGTTTTACGAGGTATTAAAGGTAAAAGCAGTTTTAAGATGTTTCAAAATAACGGACTTGAGAAATCTGGCAATTTTCTGATATACTTTTTTCTTTTTTTTTTTTTTCGATATTTACTATTTTCATCGAAAATATTGTGCCATCTTTTCTTAAACAATCTTCCATAGTTTACAAAACCACCTTAACTATTTGTCCCAGACTCGCCGTTCTCTTGGAATCATGCACCCCGTAGAAAAAAAAGACTTAGAAATTTTCAGCCTCCACAAGTCCTCCATTTTAAAACAATTTTAAAAGTCCCTTTTATCTTAAATTCTCCACCAAACACCAAGCAAAATGGCCTTGCAACATTTTCTCCATATTTTCGTTCTCTTTTTGAGATTAACTTGTAAAACACATTTCGCAATCTACAAACCCCTTTAAGGGGATGTGATAGTGGCATCCGGATGGGCAATCGTTCATGAAACTTTCCTGCGAACTGGGTGTACCGAATCGTTTCAAACTTTCCAACGTGATCATGGAGGCTATGAAGAAGGTCCTGACCCTCGTGAAATTTCATTTATTATAAAAAATATTGATATCTCTAAACAAAAAAAAAAATTAAAATTTCATGAGCATCAGGACCTTGCATACAGCCGCTGTATTCACAGTGTCAAGTTTGAAATGATGGTAGGCCCAATTTGGAGAAAAGTTTAATAAAAAACGAGACCACTTCGACGTCACGTTCACATCACCTTAAGATGACACGGAGGTACCGTTTTACCGTCAACTATTGACAATGGCCCACTCCAACCGTACTCGTCGATATTTGCACGACCCGTCGAAAAACCCGTTCGACGGATTCTCTGCAAATTACATCTACCCTAGAACCAAGAAACTGCAATATGTCGGCAATGGTCGGTAAAGAAGTACCCCCTCACCCTCCCTCGTGGGTGGCAATCGGAGCGCGGGTACTCACGATGCTTATCGCGTCATACACGGTAGTAGAATCGTGATCGTTATAATAATATTATTATTATCAATATCATATACATAATTCTAGTATTCACATTCCTCCAACAATTGAAATGAGCTGTCTCGAAGAAAGTAGACAAGGCACTTGAACCGAATAGTTTTTGTCCTCTTAACTAGTTGGCCTCGCAAATAGTGTGTACGCGTTGTGTGCAGGCGAGAGGCATGCACGGTACGTGTCGACATACCGATCAACGAAAATCGAGAGAGAGAGGAAAAAGGAAGAATAAATTAGAACCCACCCGTCCTAACGGTAATTCATATGATATACATCAGAACTCCGTTATAACGCGTCTCTTGAGTCCGAAGCAGGCATCTGCGAGAAGCCCGATCTACATCCCTTGGGTCTACAAAACGGCAAAATGTAGACGACGAATGGGAAAAGCACTAACAAAACGTTCTACAGAGATCTGCAAATACAAAAGTGCGATGTACGGACGTCCCAATTGTTCCGGGAGCGAATAGACAATACCCTTTAAGGTGACGTGAAAGTGGCATCAAAGAGGATCTCATTTATGATTCCGAACAAGATGCACCGAATCGCTTCAAACTTGACAATGTGTATATTGAGGCTACAAGGAAGGTCCTGACGCCCATAAAATTTCAATTTTTTTAAAATTTGCTTATGGACATTGTTAACATTTTTTATAAAAAATGAAATTTCTCGAGTGTCAGGATCTCCCTTGTAGTCCCCATGTTCACGTTGTACAGTTTGAAACGATTTGATACACCCAGTTGGTAGAAAAGTTTGATGAACGACTGGCCTTTCGAGTGCCACTTTCGCATCCCCTTAAGGTGATATGAAAGTGTCATTAATACATACAAAAAAGTCAAAGTATTTGTAAAAATCTTCTCCAAATTGGGTGCACCGAATCGTTTGAAACTCCATCACGAGATTATAGAGGCCCTAAGGAAAATCGCGATATTCGTCAAAATTAGATTTTTCGAAAAATAAAATTTGTATCTATCTCGGACAAGAACCGAGAAGACAATTTTTTTTTTGTCGAAAAATGAAATTCCACCAGCATCCTTCCTTAGGACTTTCACAAACACGCGCCGTAGGTCCAGATGATTCAATGCGCCTAGTTTGAAGATAAATTTTATAAATATTTTCACATTTTGATATATATATATCATGATGCATAAGTAATGGCGTTTTAACACGTAACGGTAAGGTGTAAAAAAACGCCATTACTTATGCATCAACCCAATAGAGTTACCCTTTCACATCACCTTAAGGGTGTCGCCCGTCATGGACCGCCAAGGTAACGTGAAATTTTGATAGTCTCGCTCTTTCTCTCACGCCCAATAGACCTGACATTTGTCTAATCGCAGATCTCCGCAAACCTTGGCAAGTATCGCGATGCCCCAAGTACATCGGCAGATCGGGTAACCCGTAATAATCTAATGCAAAGCCGCGTTATAACGGATATCCGGTGTGCAAAGTCAGGCGCGCGCCAATCTGCGCGTCGACTACGACGAGAATCGTCATCGCAATTGGTATTATAACCGTCACTTAGATCGTTAGCCAGTTCAGGAAGGGGCATACTTGTATTCGGCAGATACTTTTACAATTGCAGACGCCGGTAGTGACGTATATGTAAGTAGGGAATTACGCGGATAGCCAGAGTAGATCGCCGTGCACTTGGCGCGAGACTCAGCCTCGAGTCCCTTAACAACGAATCTCGTGCTAGCGCTCATAACTAACTAACGTCGGACTATCGCACCGGAACGACATATCATCCTCGTTATCCGGCAAAGACGTAGAATTTACCTTTTCCCGCTAACTTTTAGCTAAAACTTCCTTATCTAAAAGACCCTCGGGCTAACGGAAAGGTTTACAAGCACTCACGTTAAAGTAGATCGCGAACTAATCGGCACATGATTTACTATTGTCGTCGACTAACCCATGCACTTCGATTTTGATTTCAGATTATAAAAGTATCGAATGCAAGTGTGTTCGTCCCTGATCTTGTTACCCCGGAGACGCCTTAATCGGTGCTGGATCAAGATCAGAGGCAAGTTGTGGGTATCGAGGACCCCGAGGGACGACCTGGACGGGTCATTTTCCCCGTTTTAGTAACGAGAAGATCGCAATAAGTGGGTTCGATTGAACCGGCTAAACCTCGTACTCGAGGCCCTTTAAATCCAGCACCGACTCCAAGACCGGCGCCGAGTCGACAAGGTGTCTCCCCTGAAGATCCAGCAGTGTCCTATTCGATTCGAAATTAAATCGCTGGGACTGATATTACACGTCTCGCGACACCCTTTGATATCCTTTCGGACTGTATACCGACCGTATACGTCCATCTCAAGAGGTCCTAGGGTGTTCCTTGGGATCGCCTCAAGACGTCCTGGGAGATGCGAACATCGAGGTTGCCGAAACCGAGGTTCAAAGTAATCACTAGTCGGATCACTTCATCGCCTCGACTCTCTCAAACTCGAGTCGAGTATTCGCTGACAAATTCGGACCACGTTCGCCTCCATTCGTCGAGTTAAGGGAATGCGAAAGTGGCGTCAAAGAGGTCTCGTTTATGAAACTTTTCACCCAATTAAGTATACCAAGTGGTTTCAAACTTTACAACGTGGACACGGAGGCGATGAGAAAGTCCTAGCACCCGTGAAGTTTCAATTTCTTACAAATTTGTATATACTTATTTTAAAAATTGTTTATAAAAAATGATATTTCATGGGTGTCAGGACCTTCCTTACAGTCCTCGCGTTCACGTTGCAAAGTTTCGTACAATTCGATAGACCCAGTTCGGAGAAAAGTTTTCATGAACGATTGACTACTCAGATACCACTTTTACACCCCCTTAAGTCTACGGCGGACATGAATGACTTCCCATCATGACACGACGCCATAGATATTTGCAGATGCAAAGAAGGCATTCATGCCCACCACTGTACAAGTAGGGACCTCGGTTTCGCTCTTATTCCCGTAGCCGCAATTCATTCGCAGAGATAACTCGAGCTACAATCAAAACTACTCGCGTTGGCTCGAATTTACCTAGTTGAAACATTCAACTTGTCGCATCGCTAGTTCAAAGTCTTCGCAAGATCTTTTGATAGCCTTAGTAAGTCTCAGCATCTTTCCAGAGGCTATGAAGTCCTAGACGACCCGTAAAACCTTGCCAGGACCTTCTAGAAGATGCTGCGACGTCCTAAGGTATCCAAAGACCATTTAAGGACTATCCCAGGACGAGCTAGAACGACCATCCCAAGTCGGACCCAGATCGTCGCTATCGCGTCTCGAGGACGTCCCGCTCGAGAGGCTTCCAAGGACCTCTCTGGAGGTCCTTCCATTCGGGACATCTCGCCTCAAATCGCATCTAGATTCCGCGCTGCCGACCTCGCACGGCAACGCCGAAACGAGCTTGAATATGCTTAAACAAATCTAGCAAACACGCGCACGCGCGCTGCTGGGTGATTCCTCGCCAGGGTCCAACGCGGACAGGGGAACGAAAATGCAATTTATGTACAAAAATTATAAATAAATAAAGAAGAGGATCATATGCCGGACCCTCGCGGCCCTATAACGATGCGAAAGAGCGCAGCTGGACGCGCCCGTTTCGGACCCTTCTCGTCGCGCCCGCGCTGCCCAACTTTCGAGGACGGCGTCCAGATTCGGAAACGGAAGGGCTTCAAGCAAAACGAGGAAACGCGCGAGAGTCGTTACATGTCCCCCTAACGATGCCACAGTCTTAAGTACGACGTATCTGTACCTGGAAGGGGAACGACCAAGGATCGGAGGCCAGGTCCGGGAGTCCCGACTCGAGATTTCGCGGTCTATCCTGCCCCTTCGAGTCCACCGAAATCGCCCCGATTGAAATAAGTATTTCCCGCGGTCGAACGACATTCAAAAGACGCTCGTCGGGATCCTTGGATTGCACGTCGTGGACCCGGCCTCGCGTCTCTTCGTGGTCGACGTCGCCGGTCCCGGGTCGGCGCGTTTCAGCTACAGATACATGGGACGTCGGTGTACACGATAAACGGTATCATAATTATATATAAACACATTCCGCGTCGTCGTTACATTGTGTGCAGCAAAACCAGTGTCGAAGTCCGAGAGAGTGGCCAGGGTCGAGATAACATATGCAGCAGCAGCGTCAGTAATGGAGCAGGGAACCGCCCGACACGCGGACGAGATCGAGTGCGTCCCGAGCGAACCCTCGAGGTCGTCGCTTGTCAGAGGAAGGTTTACATCTTACGTATACGTTTCTTTTTTCATATATATAATATATATATATATATATATATCTTTTCCCGTTTCTTTTCTTTTTTTTCCGCATCTCGTTAGAAACTCGCGGCCTCTCAGGGCGCGGGCACGTTAACGCTTCACTCCCCAGGGACCGTCAGGGGTGGTCGTCGGGACTGGAGTGTAGCCCACGAACGTCGGGAAGTCCTCGACGCTCTCGGTGTTGGGGGCTGTCCTGGGAGCAGCAACAGCAGGTTGCTTCACCACGATGCTCGCTTCGCTGCCCGAGCCCCCGTGATTCTCCTTGACGCGGCCGGAACGGTAGCGGGTACGCAGTTCCGTGTCCTGTATGTCTTGTAGCTGCAAGTGGTTCGAGGCGATGTTAACGATGTAACGTGGAAGATACGTGAAAATCGGATCCAATCTTAAGGCGTTATGAAAGTGTCATATATATAATATCAAAACGTTAAAATATTTCCTCCAAAATGGGAGCATCGAATAATTTGAAACTTTAACACATGATTATGGAGGTCCTAATGAAGGTCTTGAAACCTGCGAAATTTCATTTTGCGAAACCGAACTTTTTTTTTTTAAATAAAACTATGAATTTCAAGACCTTCATTAGGACCTCCATAAACACGTGTTAATGTTCCAAATTATTCGGTGCACTCTGTTTAGAGAAAAGATTGATAATGTTTTGACGTTTTGATATATATGATACTTTCATAACACCTTAAGGTATTGATTCGTTTCGTTGTATAAAAAAAACAACATTTTGAACCTTTAGCAATTTGTCTACGAACTTAGGGTACAACCCAATGATATAAAGCTCTTAATGAACACGAATCACTTTCCATAGACATCGTTAACTGATATAGTAGAAAGAACTTACGTATTCCTCCTCCGAACTAAGAAGGCGATCCTTGGCGTCGAAAACGTTCTTCTCCGTGCCGATGATGGTCACTATGTTGGGGTCCGGATTGTCCGGGCGAGGGAACCTAATCTCGACGTTATGTTCAGCCATTACCTTGCGTATATTCTTTCCTTGGGCCCCGATCAATCGTGAATGCACGGCCGCGTCTATGTGCACCTCCTCTTTCACTAGTTCTTTCTGCAAAATGTATTTCCAATTTTACTTATGCAATCGGCACAACGTTAGAGTAACATGGAATGATTCGGTGTAACGTTAGGCCCATTTCGCATGGACAAAACACCTACCAGCTCATTAACTATCTTCATGATATCGTCACGAGCTTCGTGAGTGTTTTTCTCATAACCAGTGATCGTAATGATATGTTCGTCAGGATCTCCCTTCCGGGGGAAGTGAATCTGAACGTCGTGATCGGTCCGGATTTTCGTTACCACAGCTCCTTTGCGCCCGATGATTTTCGGATGATATTCTGGATTGACCTCGATCTACAACGAATAATTAAAATGTAATATTTGTTTCCGGTAAATTAGTATAGATAAATGGTTTCGCTCAGGCAAAGCAATGAGTACCTTCAACTCGTACGACTTCAGAGCTTGGTCTTTTCGTTCGGCTTCTAAAACCTTGCACCGCTCCAGGATGGCTTCCTTCGCACTTTCCACGCACGAAGGCGTCCCGGAAATCTGAAAATTCGTCATCAATTGTTTTTAACAACCGAATCCAAAAATAATTGATTGAAAATTGCGCATCGCCCATCCCGTTCCTTTTTTAAGCGAGTATGCAACATTGAAAATTACCTTGATGTAGTCTAATTTCTCGTCGGCAGGAGACAGGATGATATGCACATCGTGCTTATCCATGAGTTCTCGAACATCGCGACCTTTTTGACCAATAATCCATCGGTGAAGATCGAATGGCACGTTCACCTGCAAAGGAAATGCATATCTGATTTGTCCGGAAAATAAAGGTATTAACATTCCCGTTTTTACGCTGGATAAAAAGACACTGACCTCGATTTTAATGGGAACGAGGTCGAGGAGAGCTTGTTTAGCCGCTGCAGCGTTTTCAGGTTTACCCGTGATGCGAATCACATCGCAGGGAGATACGGCGTCCGGCGCCTCTCCTCCTTCTCCATTAACTTGCTCCGCGGGTCGTTGATCGTCTAAAATGAAAATTCACTGATTACTTTCCGCTAATACTGACTGTAATAAAAAATACCGATTCGTCCTATCTAGTAAATACGTCATTTTAAAATAGTCATGACATAATTTCAGTGCTTTACCATACATATCACGATCAGGGAACTTAATTTGCACGTCGTATTCAGACGTGATTAATTGCACTTTCCGTCCTTTTGCACCCATTACCGCGCGATGATGTTTCTGCGGTATTACGCACTCTATGGTCACTCTAGACTCCTAAACATGATAAAATAAACTCAATGCATTTGTCGCGCAGTGCTTTTCGTATCGTCAGAAATTAATCAACGGAGATTCATATATAAGTAACTTACAAGTTCTTGAACAATTTCGAGCATGCGCTGTTTAGCAGCTTCTATACACTCTTTAGCTCCCCTTATAATGATTTGATCGCTGTCTTCTCCAGCTCGGGGGAATGAAATCTGGACACCTCCGCATTCGTCACTAATTTGGTGTAAAACTCCACCTCTACGTGCCACGAAGTGTCTGTGATACTTTGGATCGATGCTGATTTCACTTTCGTTATCCTACAGTATTATCATAAGTTATTACACAATATTGGTGTAATATTATTTTGAAATGAGCAAACTAAACAGATGTTATACAATTCTGTGGAATTTATTTTTAAGCGGTTACCACTTACAATTTCACTGATAGTGGCCGTAAGTTCCGCTTTAGCCTTTTCAACGGCCTCCTTCTTCCCGATAATGGTGATGACCTCTTTGTCCTCGTCCTTCTCCGAGGGGAATATGATACGAACCCCGGTAGCTTCTCTTATCTAAAGAAATTGATAAAACGATAAAGCATTAATTTACTGCACTTGTTGTCACTGAATGTATCGAACGCAGCCGAGTGAATTTGAGTCGATAAGTAACGTCCAAATTGTAATTACGGTCACAGTACCTTATTAATATTGGCACCGCTTTTTCCGATAAGGAATTTGTGATGATCAGTCTTGGCACGAACTTCCGCTGAGTAACTAGATAGTTGGAATTCGTTGGTCAGCTCCAAAAGTTGCTGCTTTGCTTTCTCAACGTGTCCTTTTACACCTCTAATGATCACCTAAAATCGTTCCCAATGCATTAAAATAATTCATATTCGATTATTTGTATATAAGTTACAATGTCAGTTTTATCTGGAGAACAATAATTTAATAACAATACCGGAAACTAGGCCAATACAATTTACCTTGTCACTCTGACTTTTGGCAGGAGGGAACTTTATGGTGACACCACCGCAATCATCTTTGATAGAGTCTATCAGTTTACCGCCGGTGCCAATGAGAGAATTATAAAACTTCGGTGGAATCACTATCTCGTCTATAACGACGTTGGCCTGTTTCAGAAAATTCAGGATATTAACATCTATGTTACTAAAATTCAATCCCAATCGACCTTACCAATTCTTCTTGGATACTTTGGATTCTTTCCTTAGCTTCTTCAACATTTTCTTTCTTTCCGATGATAGTGATGACGTCGCTTTTCTCTCCTTCGGCTGGCAATTCGATCTTCGTTTGCGTTTCCTCTCGAATCTACATTCAACAATTAGTTATTAATAATGTATACAAATTCCCTTGAGTCGAAATTCAAAGCATCGATATTTACGAACCTTACGAATATTAGCACCGCCTTTCCCGATAACGAATTTGTGGAATTGCTTGAAGATCGAAACTTCCAACTTGTAACTATGCTCCTTCAATTCCTCGACCAATTTCATAAGATATTCGTGACACTTATCGACGTCTTCTGGGGGCCCCCTAATCGTCACGACGTCTCGCTTCTCGGCTATGTACAATAATTGTATATTAACCGCATTGATTTTTATTTAATTTGAAAAAACATATAAAGCGTATGGTTGAACACGAAAGAGCTCAAATTGAATTTACCTGGACTTGGGATATTGATTTGTACTTGACTAAACTTGTCTCGGATTTCTTTGATATTCTCTCCCCTGTTTCCGATAATGCTGCGGAAATGGCGATGATCTATGATGACTTCCAATTCCTTATCGGTCATTAGCTTCTCGACCAATTTCGTTAATTCCTGGAAGAAACAGAAAGACAAATCAGATTCAATCATTCCGATTCATCTATAACAATATGTGTGGTAAATCGATCTCCACATACTTGCTTGGCTTGAGAAACACCCTGCTCGGTGCCTTCGATACGAATAATGTTATCGTTATCCTCCTCGGATATGCTAATTTTTACACCAGTCTCTTCCTTTATGCGATTCACTGAATTGGAGAAAAGTAATATCAATCCATAAATCGAGTCTCAGCCGGAGAAAACATTATCGCTGGCGAAAGCACGCCAAAAAAAGAATATTTTTATCTCTCTACTTGACGTCGTTATCACACTCACCCTTGGCTCCATTCTTGCCAATAATGTGTTTAAAGTATTTGCGATCAACGTTCAGCTCGTCGAAGGTCAGTTTGGAGATAAAATCCTTGGCCATAATTTCTATAGCTACCTTAGCCTTGCTGACTTCATCAGGAGGACCCTCGATTTTAATTTTCCCTTCCTGGGCATCGAATTCTACGATCACCTTACTGAGATCCTGGGTGATTTTATTGATGCCCGCTCCTTTTGGACCTATGATGTACTTGTGGATCCAACTCGGAGCGTCCACGACCGCGATGCAAACACTATTTATTTTCTCGTAGACCTTCTCCAATGCTTTGGACAAATAAACAATATTAAACTATCTTCCTTTCTTAACAATAGTTGTACCCAGTAATTGAAATTATTTTAAAGACAATAAGTATTACAACTTACCCAGGCCTAAACTTGATTGAGGCCCACGAAGAGTTATGGTATCTGCTGTAGAATCTGCTGCTGGAAGCTCTACGCTCACCCCAGTAAGTTGAAGTATTTCAGCAACGTTACTACCGCGATGTCCATATATGTATTTATGCTTGGATTTAGTTGCTTCTATTGACACGGGAATACACGTGCTTTCCTAATTAGACACACAGAAATTATGTGAAACGTTATATTAAATTAGAAATATAACATTGAATTCTCCTAATATTGAACATTCATAACACTTGTCTTCTCTTAAACGTTACCGCGTCATTGACTTAAAATTTTACCATATCTTTATAAATGTTCTCGATCTTCTGCTTCGCTGCTAGGACACCTTCCTTTTCACCAACTATAGTAATCTCATCCTGTGGCCACGATGTAGGAGGAATATTAATTCGAACTCCAGTCTCGCTCATCAGAGCATTAAGAGTCTCATTATACGGACCATGAATGAATGGATGGTAAATTTTTGGTACTGATATCTTTTCAAAGGCCTTCCTCGACTGCAAACACAATTTTAAATTAATCCATCTGCTCGAATAAACAACGAATGCTGAATGATTAATTTAATCGAAAGCTGTTTAATACCTTTTCATCGGAGATAACTCGGATTTCATGTTCAGCTCTTTCGATACCTTCCTTAGAACCTACGATCGTTATCAAATCCGACTGATCTTGCAGAGAGGGAATATTAATCTTCGTGCCCGTATTCTTCTCAAGTTCTTTGACCTTCAACCCCTGCTTCCCAAGAATACTACCATGATGCTCTTTGGGAATGCTAATCTGTTTACTTGCCTGAAATACGAATAATTTGATTCATTTGGGCAAGACTTAGTCATTCACTGGACAATTTTTTAAATTAACTTTATCAAAAGTGGGTCAACACGTTTGATTTTTAGTTGACTTCTCCCTGCAAAATATAAATATACCTGGGTTTGAAACGTTTGCAAAATTCGTCGTTTGGCCTCGAGCACATCATTCGGCTTGCCCGCGACTAAGAAAGTCAAGGATTGATCTTTTGATGCTGAAATCTCAATTAGGGCACCTGTGTCCTTCGTTATTGCTTGACAGGTACGCATGGATTCTCCTTCTCCGAATTTATCACTGTGATCAAATTTTCGTTCTTCAACAGGTACATGGAAAACCTACGAATACCAATAAAATATTTTGTCATTGTGTAAACCATGCTAAGTAACAAAATATATGAATTCAAGATTTTACAATGAAAGTTTACCTGTGTAACCACAGAACGCTCGATACGCATGTTGTTATTTATGCTGGCAAATGGGTTGGGACTGCTGGATATTTGATTTCCGAACCCAGGAAGAACTGGGAATGTCTCTTCATAATTGTAGGCGGGTAGCTCGTAGGCCGTTCCCTCTCCCATTACTGGTTGCTGCTGCATTTTGGGGTTGTCCTGTTTCGTGCCAAGTCCTTACAGTAGCACTGCAACATCACAACATGAACATCTCAAATGCTATCAGTGTTATGAATCAATTGTTTTAATATCAGGGAATATAAGTGTTATGTCAGATTCTGAAACCCTATTAGATTATTAAAGAATATCAGGTTTAATTTTCACTAACTTGATTATTGCATGAGTTATTTTGTATTAAGTAGATATTACCTTATGCAACCATTATTATAACATTTACTGTAATCGTAAGGTATGATTAAGTACGAAGGCATCTACACTGACAAAAGGATAAATTATGTTATCAAATGCTAATATAAATTCAACACTAAAATCGTTATTAAGTAGTTAGCTCAAAATTGAATGGAGCTTTTGTCACATGTCTGCTGTCTATGTGAATAAGTTCAATATGTGTATACCCCTTGAATAAGATCAAGTGTATAAACTTTCAAGACCCATTCCTATGACAATAATGAACTTAGGCACTCATGTTTACTCAAAACACTCCAGAGATAATATTCATTTACATTTCAAGAAAATTAAGTAATTAGAAGATATCACTATTCTTACTGACAATAAATGTTTCTTAGATTCATGTTACAGTATGAAGTAAAAAAATACCTCTACGTATAATGGCAATCTTTCAAGGCAATTTCTAAAAATAAAAGCACATACATAAATACAACCTGGTTAATGTATAATCTCATTAAATCACATTGTTGGGGCAGAAACCATTATTTCTACACGTTTTGATGGAATTTCATTAGTTTGGTAATCAACATAACTGCATATCCCTAAAGTCACTAAAATAATTCACGAGAATAAGTAAACGTAATAGAATTAAATCCCAACATTTTGGAGACACAAACACGGTATAATATATATCCTTTGTATAGCAATTTTTCTAGGTTCAGCTGTTCTACGTAAATTATTCAATTTAATGGAACATTAGTATTTAAAAATATAAGATTTAACCTCTAAATACCCAGTTTCTTAACATTAACTCTACAATGTACATAAGATTGCAATCTTATGTACATTTCTGTACACAGCTATTTGTCGCCTAATCACTAAACAATGCAATTGACATTATATCACTCCTTAAAGAAATCCATCGAATATTATTGAAGAACCTCATAAGAACCACTAACATAATTTCAAAGAAAACTTAAGGTTCACGATCAATTACCGCGTGACTCAATGATGCATTACTTGTCCACAAAATCTAAAAAAACTCACAATATCTATAACATCATCTTCGCAACACAAGTGTACAAAAACATGTATAAACATTATTTGTGCAACCCATATTCGAAGCACCACTCCGAGCAAACTCCAAATGATTTAAATAAGTCTTGTCTGAATTCCCAACACCAAATCCTGTCTCTAGATTTCCAAAAAATCTATATGAATTCTCTGTGAGTTAGACGAGTCTTGTCAATCGATGATTTACTTTATCGGAGCAGGAATCATGCGAGTGCAGGATCTGGATGGATCGATAGGAGCAACGTTGCACAAAATCTGGGGACAAATTAGAGCAAGAATAGAATCCGAGGTTATTGCTGAGGCATGTGGGGATAAATCGGGTAAAGAATCCCGAGGGAAAACTATCGGGGTGTTCGAGTCTCCGTGGCAGCATGTCAATGACCACTGGTGGAGGCAGTGACCACCATATGGAATGGAGTACTCGGTTGACACGTCACGAGATCGCTAACCTCTCCCCGGGCGAGAGATCACGCGATGACAGAGGGAAAATCCCGAAATGGAGTCATCTCTGGGTGGTGCGAGATTCACTCTGGACGAAAGATCGATCCCTGGCGAACGAGGCGTTGCGGTTTCCATGCTAGACAGGCCTGCGTGGTTTTAACGTGTCCGCAGAAAGAGGGTGTACTTACTCTACCGTAGTAAAGAAGTCCGGCCAAGTAGTAAACACCTATTACGTCGCCAGTTTACTTTAATGGTCCACCTGAAACATCGTAACAGATCCGCGCGATTAACGGGCGCCCTACGGCGAGCTAACTTAATTAGAAGTTAAACCCGAGGGCCAATCCAGGAGAGTCTACCGAGAATCTACCACTTTCCTTACCGGTAACGCAAAGTGAAATGAGACAAGAGCTCGCGGGACGAGCCACTGCATCGGGAAAAGTTACCAGATTCTGGGGAGTTTCGGGAGATCTTGCAGAATGCGCGGTTTTGGCTGTTGGTAGATGATGATCGAGATGGGCGATGAGTTTAGAATGTCAGGGGCGACATCTGGAACTAGACGGTGGCGCCATTTTTCGGGCCACCGCCTGAAGTTTCGCTTAAGTAGAACTTAATCGATAAAATAAAGTAACAATTATCCTTTCACGTTTGCATGTAGAATAAATTTTATTTAATTGATAGGAGAAATAAAGTGTAGAATAGATTGAGTAGATTATAAGGAAGAAATTATTATGATATAGGTGAAAATGTAAGAAGACCATTAACAAACGTTGACCACGTCTCCATCGCATTCCTAAATCCGAGATTTATCGGATCCAAATCCAGTAAATCGCGTGTCTTCATCGCATTAATAATTACGCAGATTCGATCCTGAGCATCTTGATCGACATTTAAATTTGGACTTACTGGGTTTGGACCTACTAAATCCAGAATTTCGAGTACGATGGAGACGTAATTAATGTCTATAGATGGTCCACGTTGGGCAATGAGTCTATTACTGAATCCTTCCACAGTGGCTCCACGGACAAGCTCGTAGACCAATAATTCCGTCGTGTTGCATCATATATACGATGTAATCTTTAACTCTATCGGTAAACAAGGGAGAAAGAGTTGTACTTCCAGAAAATATCGGCAGATGGAGACTCAAGAGAACGTTTCAACTCCGAATTTGAAAACAAAGACAATGATTCAAACCTTTCGCCTAATTCACTTATATTCTCAGTATCTCTCAACAGTGGACATGTATTCTACATGGAACACTTACCATATTCAAATCCGACAACATGAATTAAATGAATACTAATAAATATATAAGTACACATTTTTTAAATATTCTCATCCTCCCATTTTACTGAAAATAAGTGAGATCGCATCCTTTTATGTCCAAGCCTCTCAATTACCCCGCATTTCTGCCAACATTTTTAACATCTTGGGGCAGCGGCAGAACATTTTTGAAAAATTTGTGAGCATGTACTACCCTGGAATCTACATTTTCAAAATCTATCCCCTATATTTGCGTAGCGACAACTTAACAGCCTTGAACGATAATCAACATCCGCATGAGTCACATTTATTCGAATGACGTCGCAGGGAGCGGAACCGAGTCAACTTACAATTAGCGCGTAACCGTCCCCTTTTTTTGTAGTTAAAGCGCCTCAAGTGCCGCTTTAAAACCCAGGACCAACGCTACACCTAGTGTCCCTCATATTCCTCGACGTCGAATAATCGCTCGATTTGTGCAGCAAGCCCGGAAAGATATTCCCCGCATACCTAGAAAGTGGTTTCGAAAGACCGGAGTGATTTCGACGGCCTGGCACGAGGGTCTCTTCCATATGTATGACTTTTCCATGACGTCACTCGCTGCAAAGATTTACGCACGCTTAGCAGCAGAAGGTAGTCAGCTAACAGTGTACAAAGTTTCGAAACGTTCGATAATATCTCTAAAAATGTCTAAAGTCTAGAAATGCTCAATACATGTCCAAACATTTATAAAGGTCAGAAATCCTCGTCTACATTTCTAAACTCTTTTCGGACAATCATCCCAGGCGAAGGTAAAAAATATACATACACACTTCTAAAGTTTATTTATAATACATACACATGTTTATACGAAGGCAGTAAAAAAGAGTACCCTCACGTCAACCCTCTACCCCTAACCTACCAAAACCTGTTCTTGCCCTGTAACGTACATATTCAGCTACTTAACGCAAAATAATCGCTGTATCTAGATCAATCTCTGCTCAGCGCTCCATAACCGCCAGTTCTCCTCCCAAGCGATACCCGCCGCATCTGAAACTAGGAAAGAGATGAAACTAGAAAAGGTCGAAGCGACACTGACATTGAACCGAAACCTGTCCAGTGTGCGACAATGACATCGGTGACGTATCCCTTGCGCGCACGCCCATGCCGTTTGCACCGCTCCACACATCGTCTTCTTGAAAACGCTCGAAACCGGCCGCGGGAGAGGAAAAGACGCCTAGGTTACCAATCGGCGACCAGAAGCGGAGGGAGAAATACATTTTTGTATCTGTGTGCAGATTAACGCGCGTACATACGTGTGCATACGTGGCAACCAGATTGGAGGCAGCAGGCCGACCGTCGCGGGCTAGCTGCGCGCTCGCGGGCCACTCACACTGCGCACCTGCATATTTATAGACCGTAAATGTGGACATGACGTCACCCGATGACGTCAGCGCCCCCTCCCCCCTCACTCCGCGGACCTTGCTTTCGGCAGGGCGAAGGCATTGAAGGCGAATCCCTGTGACTGGCACCTCCGCTTTTTACCCTGTTTCTCGTGACCCAGCTGTAATAGAAACACCAAATTGGATAATTTTCTTGCTTTCTGCTTGTACTCCCTTCCTTTGTTTTTCAGAGACAGGTGTTGTCGACCGTGAAATCACTGCAAACGTTGGTCCCCTCCTTCCCTTTATCATTTCATCGTAAGGTTCTTAATTGGTGTAAAAGCAGGAAAATTGTTTACAATGCGTTTAGATTTGTACATTTAATGCAGGCTTCTTATACGTCTGGAAAATTGTTCTTTTATGTTACTGTATGCTGTTTTATTTTTCAGAGGCCGTGCTAGCGCTTTTGTTACCATGGGATGATTTCAAACGTTGTCTCTTTTCTTGTATATTTCGGGTTATTCAATTAATAACGGCGAATGTTGCAATTTTAATCTTCATGCTGCAGGTGGTTTCTGCCTGTTTTGTGTTTGATTTTGCGAACGTTGACTGTCCCTGAAATGAGAACTGTGACTAATTTACCACCAATTTCGCACCAGGTGCCTCGGTAATACGTGATGAATTATTGCGGATCTCATTAATATTCAGGCGTGGTTTTTTTCCTTAACCAAGTCATGCGTCGCACGACTAGCGACTGGCCGATTAACTCGAAAAAAGAGAATTCTGCGCTTTTCTTTAAGGATGAGCGAGTTAAATATAATTGAAATATAAATCAATTCGAAAGAAGCTTATCACTTTGAGGCGAGTTTTCGTTTTTTGGAACCAACAAACGGTGACGTGCTGTAATTAAAAACGAAAACAAATTAACATGAAACATTCGAAAGCAAAATTTCAAAATTCGTAAAGTACAGAGGAAAACGTGCGGGTTATTCAATATACTTATATTTATAAAAGTATAAAGTACAGGGTGTAATAATACTTGTTTTATAAAGAAGTTGTTAAAAAATTAATTGTTATCGGTCAAATTGCTCCGAAACGGCGGCAAACTGTTTCCAAAAGTCGGAAAAACCCTATGGCTTTTCGAAGTACATGTCAGGTGGAACAATGGCGCGATGTTTGAAATCTTCAGATTCTTTCGCTCCGTTATATTTGCTCTTTCGCATCGTTATCACCGAAAGCGGAAGTGTATCCAAAGAACGCTTATTCTCGTCTGAAAAAGGTCACACGAATGTGATTATATCGAGCGAACTTCGATACCAGCCGAAGTAGCGACGTGTTATTGATCATTCTCCAACACCATTGCAGACAATTCGGATTTCTCATGCTGAAAAAGGTATCTCGACTATTACTAAAATTAAAAAATCGAAATATCAAAGGGTGTTCGCTATAAGAATCGGGAGCTCCTTGAGAAAATATCAAAGAAACGGTAATGGCAACGTTGAGCAACAGATCGTGCTAATTTGGACTGGCGCCTTGCAGGCGAGTGAAAAGTAGTCCCCCGATATAAGCCTCTCTCTCATTTCAATCCAGCTTAATATGTTCCCTCCACCCGGACTCTCCGGAGACCAGGCGAACTCTTTCTCCCTTACCCCACTAAGGAGTGTGACAAAGACACTCTTATACAAAGAAACAATACGGGTCTCCCAAACATCTCCCGCTCCACCTCTGACGACCCGAATGAGTCAACATAATAACACACAGATATATTTCTCCACAGTGCCATACCACTTCCAGCATTCCAAAATCAAATATGCGTTCTAAGACAAACGGAATCACGTGTGGAAATTTTAGTAGTATATGCAAGCATGACGAAGTTCGATAAAAATACCATTGAGCGTAATTGATCATCGATACGAGTAAACGGGGTGTTGGAAATGTCGAGTCGATGCGAGGCAGGGAGTCGCCATGATCGTCGCCATATTGGCGCGGGTGCGCAGGGCTCAGTGCGCAGAGGCGCGCAGCGGCGCGGCGCGGAGGTCGCGGGTTCTACCAGTGACGAAGCCACTGGAGTTTTGACGTGGCTGCTACGTACCTGCCCGTTTGCCCACTCCGATCGCAGCAAACTTGGTGACGAGAAATACGTAACTGGTAAGTACCCAGCTGGAGAATAATAACAAGCGGGCATGGGCTAGCGCGTTCGCGATGCGCCCGAAATCCCGGTGTCGCAGGTCCTGCCGCGTGCAGTTTCACGCTGCAAGTTAAACCTTCGAAATATGGCGTCCCGAGAAACACGGGAGCGTGGAATTAGTCGAAATGTAAGGACGCGACTCGAGCCCGAGGTTCGGTTACCGCGGCCGCAGCCGCGCTGCTAACGTCGCCGAGACGCGCGCGACCTGGCTGTGTCGGCGGAGCCTGGCATGCCGTTCCTTCGCACAATGTTTACTCTGCTGTTACTTCTGCGAGATGCTCCCCAGAGGATTTATTCTTCATTTAGTATTTTTAGACGCGCTTATGTAAATGACGCAGTTGCTCCTCTGGATCGCCGATGGCGGGAAACTTCGAAATGATGTTCGGTGAGCCAGACTCGAGAGCCCTGGATGAGGAACAGATGGCGAGCCTCCTGTTCGACTAACCTTCAGCACTGGCGCCGAGTCAATTTTTCATGGACAGGAACCTTAAGTTTCCAGCTGCTATGACTTAGCGGATGTAAATTAATGTGCAGATGGTACAGTTTCATATTATGTGAGTTTCAGTGGAGTAGCTGTATCGTAAATTTAAGGTACCGTGTTTCTTTTACACGAAATGGTTTGAAAAGAAAGGGATGTTCGTGGTTGTATTTATTAAAGGTTCGCTCCAGTTTCATATTCTGTGTATTTTAACTTATGTCTGCCGAGCCATGGTAATTGGGGACTAGTTAAAATTGTTTGTACGTGAGTGTTGGATAATAAGTTTACTTTCTGTTACAAAGCTTTTGTAATATATAATTAAAACTTATAGTCTTTTCATCAAGTGACACGTGGCTCGATTGTAACATTAATGTTGCCGAGGATGGCTCAACTTTGGCTCTACGACGGTGCTTGTTATACATCATCTCATATAATTTTTTACTTTGATATTCCTTTTTGTGAAGTATCGAGATTTATTTCTTGCTTAGTATTTTTAGATGTGCTTACATAAGTGATGCAGTTGCTGTACTGAAGCCTGTCTACTTGGTGAATTTAAAAATGCAGTTCTGTACTACGAAGATACCATGAAATATGCATATTGGTGACTATGTGTCTAACTAATCTTTCAGATAATTCCGTTTCTTATAGCACTGATTTTCTTCAAATAATTAAGATATAATTCAGCATTGATTATAATGCTAATTGAAATTTTCTTACAAGTTTACTGCGATAATATACTTATAAAATATTTGTTCTAGGTTTTATTCCATCCAAACATGTCTAGATATACTTATGTATACAGAATGATAACGTCACTGAATAATAGGATGATGGAAAATTAAAATTCAGCTTTATATAATGCCCGTGATTAAAGATCCAAGAATCCAGGATAACTAATAATAAGTATTTCAGGTTTCTGCGCTCAAGATGTGTAAAATACTTCATATAAAAAAATTACTTTACAGCATTAATTTAAATTCATTTCCTTTTCCCACATATAGCAATTCTAAATTTCCTATCACCTATACGATAAATACTATGTTAATTGAAATATTAATAATAGGAAATTTTAATGGCTCCATCTTGACAGTAAATGACTAAATTGGATGGTTTTCGGTAGGTTATGTTATGCGGTTTATCATATTGTAGACTAATAAATTCATTTTTCACAGCCTATTAATTGTAATGAATAAAAGATCTGTTTATTGAATTAAATGATATTTTCAGGGCTCGCGGTCCCCGGGCTATGGAAAGTATGGTTGAAGAAAACGGATCGACCGTCGACCCCCTGTCGCAGAGTTCCCAGGGTGGAGATGCCGCAGCCCCGGCGATCGCCACATCGGTACAGTCACTCAGTAGAACTCACCAGCAGCAAACCCATCATCTGGTAGCATCTACCAGCATTGTGCAACTGACGCTCCCGTCGTCGGGGACCACGCAGGTATACAGGAGGATCTCCTGTGTATCTATGCTCGATGAATCTCTTTTTGACCCTTACTTCTCTCAAGCATGCAATTATGAGATACGACTCACTTGTCATTGGTGCTTGATTCCTGTTTTAAGACAGGGGGTGGCTACTGTTTGTGATATTTGTGATATTTTGAAAACAATAATGAATTTTATATGCCAGAAAATGGAAAAGTGAAATTCAGTGACTGTAAATTATGAAATACTGGGTCAAGAAGTTAGGAAACATGCAGGAAGTTTCTGAAAATTGAGTGACCATCCTATGACGGGCCTTTGACCTTGTCATATAACTTTGCATAATGCTGGTTATAGCCGCTCAGTACTTTCTACAAGAGAAATTTGTATTTCTCACGTTTACTTTTTCGGAATGCTTATCTTAATTCCATTTGTAATCCTTTCACCATTCAGTTTATCAATATTTTAAAGTAATGAATATTAGCTGTGTATCAATTTATATCAGCAATCTGCACTCTTACACGAACGCTAGTGGTAATTATGTCTTATACTTTTTACACGGTAAAGATATCATTTTATTGAGTATGCCAAAGCATCATGATCCTTTCTTATATAAAGGCTATGGAATTCTAAGTCCCTTTGAATATTGTTAATGTCGAATCTCTGCGTGAGTTTTATTTACTGAAAAATGAGATTTATAACTTTATTTTATTCCAATGCTGATGTATTACACATGTCGTATATATTTTTTACAGGTACAATCTGTAATACAGCCAAACCAACAGTCAGTAATCCAGACTGCGACAAACATTCAACCAGTAGCCATTTCCAAAGGAAACGTAATTCTAGTAAGCAAACCTAACTCCGTCATCCAAACGACGCAAGGAAGTTTGCAAACTCTACAGGTATTTAAATCAATTATTCTATTGCTGATTAGCAGGTACCACATAGCAATAACATTTTATTTTAAAGGCAATGTTTATTAGTTCGCTATTTCTATAATAATATATTATTCACTAAGGGGGAAATAAGGGACTTTTCATAAGGAGTACTGAAAGAAAAACACGTGTAAAAAGTACCCTCCTCTCGGTGCATACGATATTTTTTATAACAAGGACATGATTTTAGACGTTTTTTTTTTTTATAACCGGCACGATTTTCGACCATCGGATGCCGCATGTAAAATGTGACTTCATAGATGTATCATTTTCATTATTTACCTCCGACGTAATATTTTTACTATAGAGTAAAAACTGACGTTAGAGGTAAATAATGAACTTCGACATAGTTCACTCTCGAAAAGCGGTACTTACGTCCGTGTCACAGAGATGAAAAATTTTCTAAAATCGTGCACATAATGACAAATTCTATATTCTGAAATATTTTACGTCTTCCTGGTGACAATCAATTTATTGTACTTTTTTTATTTTTTTACTTATCTAAAAGTAATGATTCTTTGTCAAAATTATCTCCCGGGTTAGTAACACTTCTAACTGATGTGATTTCTTTTGTAAGGTTGTTGAAACTGGGAGTGATGATAGCTTTTCTGACGAGGAATCTCCAAAGAAGAGGAGGGATATCTTAACCAGACGACCGTCTTATAGAAAAATTCTCAATGATCTAGGTGGAGGTGAAATTGCAGGTAATCAAGTTAATTATTTTTACGCAACGGTCCATATTACGAGGCCTCGTAAAGTTAATTATTTTAGTTATCAATTCACATAAAACAAAGAACTGTAATCCGGCCATTTAAGACAATAGAACGCTTTGGGTGTATCTGTCAGTCTCCATAGAATTGTTTACCTATTATTAAGTGCATGTCAGCTCATACGACTAGTGGTTTTCAATTAAAAGTTTATTCTATGCAATTGGTAGATTTAACACTTAACAGCAGAGTTGTCGCGACGACTACATTTATTTCTGTTATTGCCGAATTTCAAGATTAACGAAAATCAGTTTCAGTCCACATTACAATACACTGTAAGCAACGAGAAGCGGTGGATCAATTAGAGCAGGATGCCATACCAAGCTAACTTATTTAATGTTAAAGTAATACGAGAAAGCAATATCATGCTTTCAAGCTATGATCTCTGAAGAAATTACCCCTCGCCAATTTATATATTTTTTAATCATTTTTTTTTATTATTAGTTTCAAGCAAAATTCTATCTTGATACTCCAAGCTCTTCATAGGTGTGGTTTAACGAGTCCACGTACTGGTGATTTCATTACTGGCAAGCAGTGTTTATCAAAGGTAAAGCGCAAGATATATGTTGTAAAGGAACAACGACAATGGCACTAAGTTACGTGGAAAAATCGAAACACTTAAATATTTGAACTTAGATTAATGTCACGTTTACTTAACTTCTATGTATTTTCCTTCCTTTATAGCTAACGCTGTTGCTTCTTTTTTATAACACCGGAAAATTATATTTAGGAAAATAGAATGTTTCGTGCCGATATCAGGAGTCAGAGTGAGACAAAGAGGAGTCTCTAATTTGTTTCGGTTTTAAGGTTTAATAACGTGACATTTTCGAACATAACATGTCCTCGATTGAATACTTTCCAATAGTTTCTACAATTTCACGTGTTTAATAACTTCTTTTCTTCGACAAATGCACTTTCTCGGTATAACAGAAATAGAGTAGTATCAACAGAAGTAACGTCGATTCTATGTGCCTTCAATTACCAAATGTGTGTGTAACGAAGATGTCTGACCACATGCAATTGAATTTTCCTATGGCCGTAAAGGCAATTGGTGTCATTCGATTCGGAAATGATCATCTTCTGTTTACCTTTCCTTTCAGTATGGTCTGACTGCACGAGTTGATCGTCTAGCGATGCAAGATCGGCAGCCCGAGAGAGCAAGGTCGTTAAATCTTTCGGATCTTTCCTCCTAGTTTCCATCGATTAATCTTTCAGTTTGACAATCTGGGCGTCAATCGTGCATCAGTATAAGAAAGAGGAAAAAACGAATTTTAGAAGGAATCATTAATTAAGCGTGAACTTTATCATACATTCAGTCGTTTAATTTCTCATTCTCGGCAATTCCATGCCCAATTATAAAGCGATTTAGGTGTATTCGGTAATTTACGTCTTATTAAATTCTTGTTTTCCGATTTGCCTTGAAAATGTAGATATTTAGAATGTAGAAGGAAGGTAAAACCGTGACTACTGCCCCCTAGGAAGAGTAATGAAATCTGTCACGGCATGACTGTGACCGTTTAAATTCTTCAATCTGTTAGAAACCTCGTGAATAGATTGTAAGAATGTTATCTATTAGAGAAGAGACAAGCTTTTATATCTCGAGTTTCATTGGCTCTTTTAGGGGTAAGCATCTGGAAGGCCGTGAAATCTAATACTAAGAGGAATTGGCGAAACCGAAGATGGAGAATATAATGAAGCGCACTGTAGCTGGAATTTCTCTATTGGTTGCACCATGAAGTAGTATAAGGAGACCTAACGCCTATGGTCGGTTCCCCAGAAAGTGGCCCCAAAATCGGGAGCCAGGATCTCAGATTTTCGCTGGTCTAACAATGCAAGCGCTACTTGCGGAAAATGAGGGAACTCCAATCCTACGTGACGGAAACATTCCCTATCGACGTAAATTACCTAAGGTGGTTTTAACTTTGCAATTAAGGTACGCAAAGTGAAACGATAATTTCAAGCATGATATACAGAATGTGATGTTTTTAACGCGATAAATACTAGCGGACCCGCCAGCAGACGATAATATTTAATTGCATAATTTCATAATTCCATCGAGGAGGCGCTCTCGGGACTAGAGCAGAAAAAAATCTGATGATCTTGGACCTCTAAAGTGCGGACGATTTCAATACATGCCATTGAATCTCCTAATACTACTTCGTGGGTTGCACTTCCAGGACTAACGTTCTCACGACGTGAAAATGACAAATGCTTAACTGTTAAGTCTTTAATGTCAGAGGGATTATTTTCACGTTATGAAGATGGCAGTCATATCAACCAATGAGAGAGTGAATCTACAATCTATAGTTTCCTCGCTATACATCCTATCTTCGGTTTCACCCTATCGTTTCAACGAAACAAATCCCCAGCTCAAGTTTTGTCCTCAAAATTGGATTCTGTGTGTTAATGCTAATGAAAAATGATTAGGATGATATTCACAAGGCCCGGCTGGTCGTGTCTATGTGAAAACCGCAAAAACGACTGTGCAGTTAACGGGGTTTCGAATTGATTCGGTGTTGCAGAGGGTCGTTTGCCCCCCCTAGAATCCTCCTCAGAGTGTGACTCTAACGTGGACAGTGAAGTGTCTTCCCACTCGCTCCATTATCAGACAGGTTGGTTACTTTTTCTTCAGTATGTCTATCCTCGACCACCCTTCCCGCCCGTCCAACGTAGAGCCTGGGGTCACCTCAAGCTCGTAAATCGTCCCGGTATCTTTTATCACCTTTTCCCGTGTTTTTTACATAATTTTGTTCAAAGGACAGTCAATCCTCGCCAGTAATCGAGTTAATCGGGAGGAAGCCTTCGACGCGTCTCCTATCCCTGTGTGTACTGCCTAGAAATCTTGTTCTGGTGGAAAATATATATCGCTTGGTGTGGCATCCTCGTTTGTTCAGGCTTTTAAACTTCAGAGAACGTAATTAAGGACGTTTAATGTATACCGAGAGATAGAGGGGGAAAAAAAAAAGAAAGAATGAGAAAAAGAACATACGTAGGCAAGGCTTTTCTTGCGTTCAATTGCGTAGAGGCTGTTTCGTTTCTCAAGATTCTAATGTTAATGTTTTACAGTCATTCCTGCGGGCACTATTCAAATTGCCACCCAAGGGGAGGGTGTTCCAGGGCTTCACACGCTAACAATGAGCAATGCGGCGACGGCGGGTGGAGCTATAGTACAGTATGCACAGGGCCAGGATGCACAGTTCTATGTCCCAGGTGTGCTTTCTTCGTAACTTTCTCCGATGCTCTTCACGTTCTACGAGAATCTCGCCACCCTATGATACAAATCTATGGAAATTTACATACATTTTTACATACCTCATGACCGAAGGTTAACATAGAAAGGCGTAAAATGGAAAAATTATAAATTAAGAAAGGCATTAATACACGGTAACACTGTATTGATGCACTTTTACTTGAATTGGATGCAATTATTATATTATAGTTTTCTTTAATTTAACTTAGATGCCGAATGTGATGTTACAGAGACAATGTAATTTTACCGGAATTTATTGTGGCATCGAAATAACCAATGATTGAGTATGTAAATTTATCCGGGCATTTTTATCAGTGCACTCCGTTGTACATACATGGCCAGAACCCCTACGCTTTGAGTTTACTTTTTGCGGTTTACTCGTAGAATCGCACTCGTGACGAGACTTAAGGCCGATTGCACTAACCGTTATCGGTGAGAAGTTTCTTAACCATGATTAGTTAATCTTTAATTGGTGCAATTCGGGCTGCACCGACGAAAATTAACCTAACCGATTATCAGAATCCACTGTTTTGTACTCACCTGGAATTGGTTGATTCGCGAGTTAAGTAATTCTTGATTAAGGAGTTTAAGTCGAATGTTGGTGCAACCGATCCTTAAGGTGATATGAAAGGATCATTCTATATTTATAAAACTTTTCTCCAAACTGGATGTACCGAATCATTTGAAACTTTAACACGTGATTGTGGAGGCCCTAAGGATGAACGCGGTGCTCGTGAAATTTCATTTTTCACCAAAACCAAAATGTGATCCTGGTTCTAGTCTGGACAAAATAAAGAAAAAAAAAATGTTCGTTGAAAAATAAAATTTCACGAGCATCGCGTTCTTCCTTAGGACTTTCATCATCATGCGCTGAAGTTTCAAATGATTCGGTGCACCCAATTTGGGGAAATATTTTGATGTTTTATATGTATAGAATGACCCTTTCACATCACCTTAAGGTCGAGTAACTAGATGAGTAATCTTCAGGGTCAACTTTGAAGATTGACCCCGGCAAGAGACGAGACCAAAAAGGACATATTATACGACCGATCCTTAGCACGTTTGCAATAAGTTATGTTCCGCGTCCGTTCCTACTTTCCTCGCGAGTCTTTGCCATTACGATATCAATAAGTTGTAATTCATTTTAAGAGTACAGATTGTTGCAACGTTTCAGCTGACACAGGTCATGGGGTCGTGGCCGAGGACAATGCCAGAAAGAGGGAATTAAGACTGCTGAAGAATAGGTGAAGAACCGCAAATTTTACCTAGAATTACGAGAAGCGCAGCTTCAGATTTTTAGGAAATCGTTAGAACGGGAGATGAGATGATATGAAAATATATGCGTCGTCGCTGTTTACAGGGAAGCAGCCCGCGAGTGCAGGAGAAAAAAGAAGGAGTACATCAAGTGTCTGGAGAATCGCGTGGCGGTTCTGGAGAACAGGAACCAGATGCTGATCGACGAGCTGAAGTCCCTGAAGGAGCTGTATCAGCAAAAGGCCGACTGAGACTTGCACATCGCTCTGGGATATCTTGTCAGAAACACCATGAAGTCACTAGCGACCCTGTACATGTACCGCAGAGTGTACATTATCATTAACGTTGTTAGGTGAGAGAAATCCGAGGAGAAACGGAGGGCAAAGAGCAGCAGGTGATGTACATGCATTCGTATAGTTAAGTGTATCTCTGTAACATATTGTATTTATGTACACGACTACGAAACAGAAGGCTTGTGAAACTTGCTACCACTAAAGCGAGAAGCCAAAGGTTTATCAACGACACGGGGGAGACAAACTCGTATGGGAATCGTCCCGGGAGATTTATCCTATTTTTTGTATAAAGAGGTCGCCCCTTCTCGCCGGAGCCGCGCGATTCGGGAGACATTCGAGTCGACATTGCTGTTTCTGCCTCTCTGAACCTTGACCTAGACGTTAGGGTTTCCCTTGAACGGGCGCCACGTACTTCCAGTTGTGCAATAACTTATTGACTTGGCAGCTTGCACCCTCTCTATTTCTTGCAGGATCGCTCTACCGTGTTTTATCAGGATCCGGCCATTGTTTTCTTTAATCTTTCAGCGGCTACTGGAATTCCGTCAAACGTCGGAACCACGCCCGCTTTATTTTTCTAGGGTGTTTTACTCACCTTTTTCGCGTGAAGTCGGGTCGAGTGTTGCAATTAATACACCTTTCGATGCACGCGAAAACGCGACTTTGGGATTGCCACGAAACGTGATATTGTACGAATTGGATTTGTTGGGTTAACTTGTGCAATTTACAGCATGCGTTGCATTTGTAGGGATATCGGTATTTTTATAATATATGAACGGACTTTCTTGTTTGGGAATACTTTGTAACGACGTACGTATGATTTTTAATGTTCCGTAACGCGTTTAATATCCGCAATTTGGGACGTCGAGTACTCGAGATGTCGCTTTTGTCAGACCAGAGGCGTTTTTATTGAGCCTTCAGTGTTTCTTCATGTACCTTTAACCAGTACTTGAATAAGCGATGATTAACTAAGCTGGTCTTATTCTAATTCAGTAAAAATTTCTGCTATTATTCGATGGTAATGGGTTAAGCGTGACTCGTTATTCAGCTGGTCGGATAATCCATTCGAAGCCGAAACTTTTTTCTGTACGTTTAAAAGTTCTGTCCACGACGTCTACGGTGCGTCATTGGCTTCGAATGGGTTAATTAATGAATTGTACCTTGGATATCGTAAAACTTTCATTGGAAAATCCCTCGTACAATACAATCGGTTCGTTCCATTCACCCAGTCCCAGTTGTGCACGGTTTAGCGATCGTGATTGTTAATTACAGTTTATTTTCGACCTCGTAATCTCTAAAAATTGGTTTACAAGGTTTCGAACTTGTAGCCTACTCGAACCTCATTGTCGTCTTCAGAACAGCATGAAACTGGCAGGAAGGGCAATTAAATATAAGGGTCCGATCTTGGGAGTTCAAGATCGGTCACGATGGAAATATGAGCGATTATTGGTCCGTTGTTCGTAGCGTCTTGTTGTTTGTACGGTTAAAATGCTTCGAGCAGGACGCACCATCTACTTGTAAAATACAGATGTAATATAAAAATCTGGAGTGCCTTGAAGATTGCAGTATAAAAGAATTATATATATATATATATATGAATAATTAAGAATTTATTAGACTGTATGAAAATAGAGTATGGGTAGAAGAGATATTTTCAAATATTATTTATCACGGTACACACAACGCTGCGAGTTGTTGGCCCTTATCAGGGCACGAGGATCTCGAATTGAAGCGAGCGTTGCAATCCGACCAAACTCGACGAAACTGAAATGTACGAATATACGTGTCAGGAAATGCCGATAAGAGACAATACGCCAGTTATACTTGCTTGAAACGATTCCAACAAATGACGAGGTCCGCCGAGTCCCATGCATTTTCTTGAAACAATCTTCGGGTCGTTTAAGTATCCCGCCTTTTTTTTTTCTTCAACTAATTGTTAAAAGGGGAAATACGCACTTTCTTCGTCTTATGTCTCGATTTGTAATGCGAAAGACGGTTTAACATTGTCGAATTTGCAGCGGCAAGTTGCTGCGAGGATCTCAAGTACTGACACTTTGCACCGTACTCTTGCAAACGATTGAGTTATGAAAAGCGATGGTGTAATTAAATTTTGTAACCCTTTTCTGGAATTATAATGTGGATTAAGTTCCAGGCAAAATGTGTAAGGAATATGCAGTTATACATATTTCCATTCGATCGATTGATCCAAGCTTGCAAGCAACAATAGATTTATTTAGAGCGGAAATTGACGAAATTAGTACTTAAATGTGCTCGTTCTTGATTTAGAAAATGCCCGATCATTTAATTGCGCAGGCAATGCGCAAAATAACCGGTTAACAGCATAGATTAAAGAGAGATTCGTAATGTTCGTTCAGTTGAACTTTAATGGAGCCGCTCGCTTTGACGAGTAGGTCAATCTGCAACCAAAGCGTGATGTTTATAAATATATATATATATATGGAGATCCGAATGAAATTATTGGTGGTTTACGTGAAGTCGTAGCAACGAAGAAATTCCTGTTAAACTTCTCGGATCTTGGCCGGACTAGTGAATTAATTCGGAAATTGTATTTAGGAGTTTGATTCGTTTTTGGATACTATTTTCTATACGTCCATGACGCATATAGTGCATCGTTGACTCCGACTGAGTTAACATTGAATCGAAATTACTGTAAAATTTTTATATGATCGGCCAGGACTCGATTCGTCAAGCCTCTCGTAAATGTAATGTTTCCTAACGAAATGTAGAGAGTGCCTGTTATTCTTCGTCGGTTGTCATTTCTCTTTCCACCGTAAAATCAAATTCGGAGTCTTCGATTTTATTCCTCGAACGAATCTATGCGGCACGCTGCGGATATGAATATATGTATGATATATATATGTATATCTTGGTTGCTGCACCCATACAATATTATGAAGCATTGTATATAGATAATATATGTATTTTTACATATCATTGGCCTTCTTGAAGAAAATATAGCTTGTAAATCCATTGATAAGGAAGACTTCTTTAATCTAGCCGTCGAGCATTACACCGAGGGGGCAGGCTTTAATGATTTTTATTAACCAGGTAATTAATCACTTTCTGGTTTCTTTGCATAGCCAGGAACGAAGAAGTGCAATTTGATGTTGAACTGCGGTCAAACTTGTGCCACCTGCAGCTTGATATTGTTCAACACTGCGCTCGAAGTCCCAAACTTGTTCGATGTCCTCTTCAAACGCCTTACTGAGAACGAGAGGTGACACATTTGTTATTCAATCCGTAAATGTAGAATATTAATGTATTATTATCTCACCTGATAGATTGCAATTGCGACAGGCCAATGTCTCGAATAGCAGTATCCTTTGACAAGGTAACTACTTGGCCAACAATGTGATGAGCTTCTCGGAAAGTGACCTGCATGAAGGAATGATTGATTCAGTTACCTTTTTCATCGATTTTCAAACAATATCTATTACCCCTTTGCGAACAAGATAGTAAGCTATGTCGGTTGCCAGCATATCATACGTCAGCGCTGCTCTACATTTTTCTGGATTTATCGTTAGAGTTTCTAACATTCCTTGAGTGACGTTCAATACGTTCACTAATGTATCGTACGCAGAGAAAAGAGCTTCCTTGTCTTCTTGCAGATCTTTATTGTACGTCGAAGGGAGTCCTTTTAGTGTCATCATGAAGCCTGCGCACTACAAATAAATTTTAATTCAACAAACTTATATTAGAACGAGGTCTAATATCAATTAACCCCTTGACAAAGAAATAAAACGGACTTTGATGCGTCCGAAAAAATACTATTTAATTTGGCCGGAGGCAGTTCTTGACATCTTGGAAATGTCAATGTCTACAATGGCACATGAATGACGTCTCCCAGATGTCATTGTATGTCGAGGGGTTAAACAAGGTGGTTGCGACCTTATTTTCCATTATTTTAATCTATTACGAAGGATGTTGAGAAAAGTATTGTAATTTATATACCTTGCCGTAAAGTGTTCCACTTTTTCCCCGTATAAGTTCCAGGGAATCCGGATTTCGTTTCTGAGGCATCAGACTACTGCCAGTGGAAAAGGCATCTGATAATTTCACAAAATCGAACTCCTGGCTGCTGTAGATGATCAAATCCTCGGAAAGCTTGCTCAGGTGAATCGACGTAAGAGATGCCCAAAATAGGAACTCAGCTGTTTCAAAAATAAAAGGTATTTTCTCGATAACACTTTCGACCAACAATTGTTTGTGAATATGTTACCGTGAATGACCGAAATTGGAGAATGTCGACTTTCACCGGTGAATGTCAACAGATACTAAATACGTCGGTGAAAGATCGAATATTTCATTACATTGTTGTACATTCGGACCCTCTCCAGTGTGTGTCGACAATCACACACCGGTGAATGTCAACAGATACCGGTGTAAGTCAGAAATAAGGGTATTTAGCAAATATTTCGGACATACACTAAGCGACTATGTGAATGTTGACATTCACCGGTGAAAGTCGACATTTTCCAGATTTCGGTGTTTCACCGTAACAAATATATTCCACGGAAATTATAGAAATTTGAAATATGCATATGGTGTATGTTCCATCTGTTAATTATGCTTGTCTTTTTATGCAGGATTTTTAACAAAGGCCATCAATCGACGTCTTACCAATAAAGTCTCGATCTCCAACAGCTACCATGCTATTTCTCACAATGCTTTCAAAGCCAAGTTCAATCGCCATTTCGGTTCTGTCAATGGGAAAAGGATTTCCTGCTAATGCACCACATCCTAAAGGCATGGAGTTAACTCGTTTGCGGATCTCCAGCAATCTCTCCAAGTCACTCTTCATGGCCCAGGTATGACTGAAAACAGTTAAGGAGTGAAATAATATTTTTAAGACTAAACGATATCGTTTAAACATTTGTAGTATGTCTTATCACGGGACTATAGTTTCGAGCCAAATACATTTCTGAGCGAGAAACTTGTTTCATATGTTTACCTAAGTATCCAATGGCTCCAACGAATTGGCTGTGCACGTTGCAGATGAGTATATCCTGGCATGAGAACATCGATGTCTTTCTCGGCTTGAGTTAAAAGTACCTTCACGATTGAGACAGATATTTTATACGTCTTGTTATTGATAACCGATAGAATAAATACGTACAATCGAAAGGAACATTTTCTTTCCCTTCTGATCATTTTATAAATTGAATGAAATTGTAACGATTCATTTATTTTGTAAGTAATGATAATGAGTATGTATTCCGAATAGCGTTTGAAATTTGCGCAGCACTTTAAACCTATTTTTACCTGGATAACATCTTTCATCAGTTTCGAAATATTATCAATCCCTTTTCGCAACCATAATCTGGTATCCGTCGCGACTTGATCATTGCGACTTCTTCCGGTGTGCAATTTTCGAGCTGTATTCCCAATAATCTCCTGAAAGGGAATGCTTTGTTAATTCTGAAATAATAATTATGTATTTTGAGATTTAATTTACCGTCAGTCTTCGTTCATTAGCTGTGTGGATGTCTTCGTCGCTCGGTACTTCTATGAATTTTTCACTGTCCCACTCTTTTTTCACCTGAATTAAATTTCTTATCAATATTCCCTGATATAACATTATCACTACCAAAGGATTTCTTTCGTTTACCTTTATTAAACCGTCTTTTATTCTCCTCGCTTCATCTTCGGTTAGTAATTTCGCCTTGCACAATGCTTTGGCATATACGATACTCGCCTTAATTTGTTAATTCATAGTTCATTATTCTGATCAATAATTGTTGCCTTTTCTTCACAATACTAAGGGTCTAACAAACCTGTATGTCTTCAGCGTACATCCGTTTGTCGATGTCAAGAGATGCGTTTAATTTGTTTAATTCTAAATCCGTGCTTTCTGAGAATCGTCCTCCCCATAGTTTCCCTGCCATACAGCTCTTCAACAAATAATCCAATGGAATAAGTTATTAATTTTACGGGCTAAAGTTTTACACAATGTGGATCTATTCCATTTAGTTATACCCTACTTTAAGGCATGAAAGTATTAATTTTAACAGATATATAGTACTCGACCTTGATGAATAAAGTAATTTTGTCTTACAGTCTCAAACGGAAAATCAGATTTTCAAGAATGAATTCCTTGAAAAGTACGACGATAAAGTATTTAGGAATATGATATAATATCTTCAAATTCGGAGACGAATGCGATATTTAAATTTATACGTCACCCACTTTATCCATGGTGCAGATACGTTTGACAAACAAAGTCAGGCTCTGAGATTAATTGGCGAATAACGAAGCATCGCTTGACGATTTCAGGGAGAAAATGATATATACTCGTAGGAATTATCGGGTCGTGACCGAGTGGTCAAGTTGTTATCGTATTGGACAGCACATCTTAGCGTACAGTACATCGAGATCAACTCTCAGCAGCCTCCGGGGAGGAGTTCATTCAATAATAACGTAACATTTATTTAGAGCGATTTTAATAAAGCTTAGTAGGAGCTTAGAATGATGTAACACTCGTTAACGAAACAGGAACTATTATTTTGCCCGATACGAGATAGCATAAGTGGACGATTTTAGTTCTTCGTTTTAATGCTCAGCGTGGAAGTGTTACGAGTAAGTCGTCGAGGAACTTAGAGTTATCGCAAGTTCGCCGTCGTCTGACGATTATTTCCAGTGCCTGAAAGATTGATTAATTAAATCACTGTACATTCCACACGATGGATGCCCCCCTACGATATAGTTGAAGCGATACGAAAATCCAAGTGCAGTTGTCTATAAAATGTCTTATTATAATGTGAATGTAAAAACAATGGGTTACCTAATTATTCATGTTTTAATTACTTATTTCAAGACTTGGTATTTCGCATCGTGGATTGAAAAATTATTAATCGTACGGTGATTTGTTTTACCTGCTAGGCTGTGTGGCACCTTTTCCCCCTGCGTGTGGAGCCGCAGCAACAGCTGTGAAAATACGTTTAAGAGTCACTTAATCTCGAAGATGCATACGTCAAAAGTAAATGATAATAATAAACATGCATTTCCGAACCTTTCACACGTTTGCGATCAGTCGAACTCTTATTTCTACTTCCGCAAATGAGATCGTTAATGTATCGAGGTGACTTCGACTCCTTGGCTTTCGTAGGCTTCGACAGTTTTTCGTTTTTCATGTTAAACACTGCCGTCTCGTAAACGATCTCGATCGGTTTCTTCGACCTGAAATGAGAACAGTTAAAATCACATATTAAATCCTTATGTCAGATAATGATATGCAATTCTTATTTCAATATGTGCATAAATAATACAGGGTATACGAGGGGAGACATTGATTTCAGCTTTAAACGCTACAAGCTTTTCCATTAATTTAAATCCAGGCAAGGATAAATATTCAACATTCCTGTACGTGACGGAAATAATTAAGTTTAGAACTCGGTTGGAATGGGGGAGAAAAATCGAAAAATACTTTTTGTTGCCCGATAAATCAGGAAATTTCAAGCACCGTCTCGTCCATTATATCCACGTCTCCCTGGGTTCCCAAGTGTTAGCAAACAATTAATATGTAAGAGGTACGCAAATGCAGGAGTGCTTAAATAACGTATTTACTTAATCGATCCACTCGGTGCCTGTTTCTCCGCACCATCTCCATTAACCGTAGACACCTGTCGATTCGAGCCATTAATCTTGGCTCTCGTCTTCGAGGGATCCTTATCCAAACTTCCTCTCGACCCGCGCTCGGCTCGGCCATTAACTCTACAACTCCCGCAAACATTGCAATTCTCTCCCAATCTATTAAATCTCGGCGAGCTATTAACAGAAGAGGTCTTCGAGTCGGGATTTCGACTAATCCTGGCATGAGTTTTCTGCTCTTGAGCCCTGCTCAAGCTTTCGACGCTCGAGGTGCTCGAAACCGTTCCTAGGTTTTTACTCCTGGCCTTAACCACCTTGACTTTCGGCTTAGAATTTTTCTCCTCGTTTCTCAGGGCCTGGGTGTTGGTTTCGCTGATTACATCGAGCTTTTTCCTGCCGATTTTGGGCTTCTCCGAATTTTTTCGACTCTTAGAGCCGGAACTGGAGGCCTCGGAGAGGTCGCTGATGGCCTCCAAGGCCTCCTCGGTGTCCCTCTTCAGGGTCTCCAGGGAGACCTCGACGAGATTTCTCGACGTCGGCTTTTCCTCCACCTCGGTGTCGTTGCCGGGAATCTGACAATTCTCGTAAATCGGCGTCGCTCTTCCCGACATTTCGAAAATATTCGCGTACAAGGGCTCCTCTTCGTTCCTTCCGGTTTCACCTTGTCGACCCATAGACCCGCCTTTATCACAGGGTTCTTTGGTTTCGTGATAAGGATCCTCAGCACCTGCGGGCAAGGCCCCGCTTCGATCCTTCGAGCACGAGGACGACCTCGACCTGGACCGGGATCCAGACCTGGATCTTCCTTCTCTTTTCGCGAAATTCGAGGAAAGCGACTCGCTCGTCCTCTTTTCCATCTTCGGCGAGTGGTCGTTCTCCACCCTGGCTATCACCGGTTTATGGATGGTCACCATTTTTACCAGCACTTGGTTGTTCTCCGTGTCCGAGGTGATCACCTTGCTCTCTTCCCGGGGGTCAAGGATGTCCTCGAGGACCGTTCCTGATCCTGGCCTAAGTTTCCGAGGAAGATCCGGCGACTGGATTCTCTCGGGAACCTTCTCTGCTTTCGAATTCGTCTCTTCTGGAAATTAATTTCTCTTTAAATAATTTGCCACGAGAAAACGCGAGGGGCCATTCACTCGGAAATCGGTGAAAAAGATTTTCTTCTTCGAGAACCGATTGCTTTTCACCTTATCAGGAAACTCGGTAGAGTTTCACGCGAAGTGCGTTAAAAAGCATGCATGGACGGCATCAAATATTTAATACCAAAAAAAAAAACGTACTTCCCTTTGAGAAATATTTATTTCTCAATTAAGAGAACTTATGGACTCGTGTTTGGCGCAATGAAAGTATATGATAAACAAGAATGTGATTCGGTAACATGTGACTCTCGGCTTTAAAATTCTGACAATGTACCGGTGATTGTAAACGATTTCTAATGAGTTCTGCTTACGATTCCCAGTGATTTCCACGTGAATTCGAGCATTAAAGTTCATAATTTCCTGAGTGAATAACTCCTCGGTCAAACAGCTGAATAAGCGGCGATGTGTCGGAAAATGTTAATGATATAAGAAAAAGAGAGAGAGAAAGAGAGAGGAAAAATGAATAATAGCGTCTTTTGAGAGCTGATAGAAAAGGGGCGATCGATGCGTATCTGATTCCGAATACGATTTCGAAGCTGAAATTAATGTTACAGTTTTGAGTGGAGATTTTTTCGAGGGCATGGCGCAAAGTGGAATTTCTCCGAGTCTTGGACAAATTTCGAGTCGTCGCTGGGGAAGCTCAACCTAGACTCACGACCATCCTAACAATATAAAATTTTGAGGAAGAACAAATTTTTATCTTCGTAGACGCGAGGCGGACCCGAACCTTTAAAACAAGACAGGACAAAGATAAAGCGTCCTCGAATCTGACAAAAGTATCCTAAACAAATCAGCCGAGAAAGTGTCGCATTGCGGGAAGCCTTTTGTCTTAAGGTTAAATAATTTCACTACCTATTAGAGTACCGTTATCCTTCTTCTTAACAATAAAGCTTTCACTAGAGTCTTTCGAGGGTATCAAAGGTAACGGAAGGAAGTTCCGCTCTCCAGCATTTCGAGATCCTTTATTCCCGCTCCTTTTCGTTCCCTCGGGGATCCTTCCGGCATGCAAGGAGAACTCCCGGACATCCGCGTCGACCTCTTGAATTTCAACATCCCTGGACCTTTCCAAATCCCCGATTCCCTTTTCCACCTCTTCAACGAGTCCTGCATATCCTGACCTTCTCAATAGAGAATACTCGAGGGAGGGATTATTTTCTACCGCATCTCTGCATCTTGGATTCTCGAAGGGAAGAGACATGGACCCGGAGGATGGTACGTAACCGGGGTTTTTCCATTTACTTCCTTCCAGGGGCAAATAACGAGGTTTTGACATTTTTTTAGAGCGTTCTTCGTCCTCCTGGTTTCCCGGTGGTAGCGAGGCTGGTCCAGAAGAGTTGTCACCCCCAGTTGGCAATCTTTCCGAAAAAGCTTTGTTGGCGACATCCAAACTGGTACCATTTCTGAAGACCCTTCTTCTGGTGCTTCGGAGGCCCGGAAATAATTCCTTCAGGAGCAATGGGTCCTCGCTCGTGTCTAATGAAGATTGACTGCCGTTCCAGTCGACGTCGGAGCTCGACTCGTTTTCACGTCTTACATTCATGATCAGCTGTGTTGATTTTAATGCCAGCTGGTCGGAATTGGTCAGCGACCTGGAGATTCTTGAAACTGTGGAGGTGATCTTCCTCGAGCAGTTCTCCAGGTCGTTTAGGGTATTCAGATCGCTTAGGAGGATCCTATTGGGGTCCGAAATGGGGTGCGAGTGGTTTTGTCGAATGTCGAAATGCAGTTGGATTCTGGTTCTTAGGTGATTGTACCTGCCTGGAAATGTCAGGGATTCTGATTTGCATCGGAGAAAATCTTTTGGTAGCGATCGTTCCACATTAATGCACATTAAGCTCGAGAAAGAAAAAAATGCCAGCTGGCGCAATGATTTTCTTTACGAATTCTGGAATCGTAAATTGCAACTTTAATATACTATAATGTGAATAAAGAATTTACGGGTTCAGAGAATTTCAAGTTAAATTTTTATCATTTAAGTTACCATCTTTTATGATAAATCATCTTTTGCATTTTAATCCAATCCTTAAATTAATTATTAAAGTATAATTATTTTCTATGCATTCTGGAAATGGCTACCAAAAGAGTTTTCCGCGTATCTGCATTTTTTGTTTTGTTTTTTTTTTCCGTAGACTTGACATTCAAAGACGGGATTTATATTCCAAAACTGCAGCTTGGTTTAAGCCTACTAAATTACGGAATCTGCTGTAAGTCTACGCAATTAGGGGAAATTTAATAGATTATAACTTGAGAGTAAAGGAATGGTCCTCTTTTGAAGCCAGATTTAAGTTTCGCACAATAGATAGAAATGCGGAATATATTAAAGCTTTTACGAAAATCTAAAGTTTACTGTTATTTAATGAAGGATTTAAAATTTTTACGGGCTGTTACTTTTTTAAGAAATATAACGAGCTTGAGATTCTCTGTCGAGAATTGTTCACCTCCATGCCGGATAAATATTTAGAAAGAAGCGATTCATTCGTCTTTGCAAAATGAATTGAGCTCTAGCAAAGTTATTAAGTACTGGCATTAATAATTTACTATTAATGACAATTTAGAGCGTTAAACTACGATTATTCTAATTGTAAGATATATTGAGTTATATAGGGTGCCAGAGAATTTCCGCCTCGTAGAAGTATACAAAACAACTATTTATAAAAAAGTGATTACATCTGTTCCAAAACATTAAATTATCAAATGTAAATTGTTTTCAAAAGGAGGCGGCAATACCTGGATACCCGGTATACTGGACAATAAGAAATTAAATGAAACCTGTAAGAGTTCAACGTGCTGATAACTCTTAGTACTAAAGCTTTGTTACGCGTTTCGTTATTGCGAGTCCCAATCCACAAAGGTGAACTAATTTACTTCTAATCCTGAACAGTACGAAACTCATAAGGTTCTCGTATTAAAAAATAAGAAAGAACGTTACTTAAAATCTCTAAATTTCAGTTCCTTCCACCTTTACAGAGCGGGACAAGAAATCTATCGAGATCTTATTATAAAGGTTCGAGCCAACAGTCAATACGTACAAACTCGGATTAATGCCGAGAGTTTAGACAATTGCGCAAAACGCGAGTTAGCAACGAGCAAGATAAATGAAAAAAAGTCTCTTCTGTTAAGGCATCAATTTCGCCTCCATCTTGCCAATCTGTTACTCTTGGAGGCGCCAAGCCACGATTCATTGCATGCTGCGTAGCGTCCGATAAATCTTAATCACTCTAATAAACAAATCATGTTCGATGTTTAAATGTTATTTAATGTGTGAAATTAATTAAAATGCGACGTCTACTTATGAAGTTTACCTTCTTCCAGTCTCGGGAGAACACTAGCACCGAGGTTTACAGTAGTCGTGTGTCCCCGATGTTTCTGCACCACCGTTTTCTCATCCCCGGTGAAGCAACTCTTCAAGGACCCGTATTCGAAATTTTTGTCGTCCTTAAATCCTGGTTCCAGGATAGACTTCAAATTGACCCCCCGTCCGACCCCATCGTCAATTTTTTTCCGGACTTCCCGGTCCAAATTTCGAGCTCCAAGCCCTGCTTCTTCTAGGGGTACTTTTTCCCCCTGGGGATTTCCAGTCCCTCCAAAAATGTACTTCTCATACGACGTATCTCCAAAGTGAATCAAAGGTAGATTCTTGTTAACATTCCCGTTAACATTCCCATTAACCAGAGTATTCCTCCGTTTTCTTCGAAATCTGTTAGAGGGTGGTGGCTTGCCATCGGTCTCAACAATGTTGACCTTCCCCGAATCGGCGGCGAAGTGGACCTCGGTTTTGCAAAATCCGACCTTCTTGGCAGGTTTTCCTGGGAATGCCGTGGAGGTTTCCGTGGTGGAGGAGCCTCTGTCAGGGGAGAGATTTTTCTCGACAGGGTTTTCCGACCTGGGTACATTTTTAGAGAAGTCAGTCGAGTCTGGGGGATTGTATGGTATCATTTTTATGGTCGATTGTAAGGGGATCGAATTTTGCCTTAGACAGGGGATTTCTGCGTGGACGGATGTATCATGGGTCAGATGAACCACCGTGGTGTTCGCTTTGCTGGTGGGCACCAACTGAATCGTCTTGGGCAGAGTCGTCGCCACCGAAATCGATTTCGGATAGTCGTATTCGTCCTTTTTCATCTCGTGATCCCTGCACTCCGACGGGCCTCTGAACGTCAGGACTGGAAGTCTTCCAGAATTGCTGGAAGGTGAAGAGTAATTCCCACTCAGGCTACTCTGATTCTCCATACCAAGAACGTAGGACTTCAGTTTGCTCGGATTTTTTTTCAACCCTTCATTAGATTCTCGAAAGCTATCTCGAACTTCCGACCGAGCGAGACTCTGTTTTCTACCCTGCTCCACTTTCGAATAAATTTCTCGAGTGGAGCTTGTAGAGTTTTGAGTGGTTTTACTCGATTCGGTCCTTCTGATGTCTTCTAGAGAATTTTGCCTTCTGCTCGTTTGGTCTGTCGGTTTTGGGGGTGAGGTTGAAAGTGAATTTTGGACTTGCAGAGATCTTCGTGACTGGCAGCCTCGAGTAAAGCTCGATAAGGGTTCCGAGTTGGTAATCTCGGGTACATTGGTAACATCCTCGTTTGATGTGCTCTTTTTATGTGACAGTAAATTCGGAGACCTTCTCAATTCCTTCGTGTCGAACTTCTTCGATCGTCTGATAGACGATGGGGAAGGGTTCTGTCTTGTAACAGAGGAAGCTCGATCTTTCACTGTATCGTTATGAAGCCTTCGACACAGCCAAGATACTTGGGATAGTTTGCTGAGGTTTGAATCGTCCCCATTTAGCCTCCATAAATCCGACTTTCCGTTCGGGCTCTCGCTAAAGTCTGTCTTCTGGTGAACCTCCCCCTGTAAATAAAAATAATTCATAAATAATGGATATTAAAATTATAGACATGCATATTATGCATCCTGAACCTTTTCTCGCGTTCTGGATACACGAGGTCCTGAAATATATCGTACAACTTGTTATAGTTAAGGTGAAGTGAAACCGTCTTCAAATCAGTCGATTCAAATACAACACTTTTTTTTAAGGGTATTAGACCAAACTGTCCGAAACTTTGACACATCACTCCTGATCGTCTGAGAATTGTCCTGACACATTCAAAATTTGGATTAAAGAAAAAAATTTTTTAACTCAGTTCAGACTAGAACCAAAATGGCGTCGAACTCTCATATTTCGATTAATATACAATTATCGAAGGCTCTGATATGAGAAACTAAAGGGTCAGGACAATTTTACGACATCTTATAACACTCTGGTAATCGATAAACACGCATTTGATCGGGATAAAGGCCAAAAAAGTGTTGTATGCGCTTCTATGCTAAAACGATGTGAATACGAGGTCTCGGAGTGAAAATTTAATTGACCTGGAAATCACAGATGGCGCAGAGGGTCCCTCTGCAGTCAATTAAGGCCCCAGAAAGCCTGATTCCAGAGGATTTCTGAAGTTTCACTTCCATTTCTTTATAATTATTGTACGAAAACGACAGGTGGCGTATGCCATTTGGCACAATACCCGATATAATTCGACACAGCTGTCAATATAAAAACGAACGTCGGCAATGTAGGCATTTAGAAAAATCTCTTTATCGACGTCGATCAAGTTCCTCGACGTGTTTCACTTCACCTTAATAAGTAAAGAAGACAAACACTTGAAGTTTGCGCAATTGAGCTTACCGGAGGCACAGAAAGTGGACCAGTGGAGTCTGTCACTCTTGAGGAAGACCATTGCGAAGCTCTCACTATTTGGAACGATCTGCCACCAACTCCTTGGCTTTGGAAAACCTCCACTTGTCGGCGAGCTTTCTGCACAACACTTCCATCTGCTGAATTGCGTTCCCGCGAGTCGATCACCTGAAATAAATAATAAATAATGTACGAGTGAAATGAAATACCCAACTTACCCCCGATTCAATCATCCACGCATAGACAAACATTGAAACAGGAATTGCAGGAAAAAGAAATTGGGAGAAATCCATAATTTAGAAATCTTATTCGTAAAAGTGTGCAAATTAGTATTGCGAGAACTGTGTCAACTAATTCCTCCAGCCATTAAAGCAAGCGAGATTCCGGAAGAAAGATTGTGGACTTGATTACTAAATTATCCGATTTAGTAAAATTACTTTAATTGGACGACGTTACAGGGTAGGACATCGATTTACTTTAAACGGATCGTTATCGGGAGCGATAGCTTCGTCCATGAGCGATAGTTCCACCTTGCCGCGAGGACGAGAAAATTTTAGTTAATTCCTGTCCGATTTTGCGTCACCTTATCACGTTAAAACACAAGTACTAGGGCAATCAATTAATAAACGATTTCCAATAAATTTTCAAGAAATTTTTATCGAACCACATCACATCCTTCAAATATTAGCACATTGCGTGGCGCAGAAGTTGATCTTGACCGACTCTTGGAAGACGCATCAACACGCAACGTGGTTCAGTGTACAGTGTACTTCACAACTGACAATATTAGCACAGCTTGCTTCAATATTTATCTAACGAAAATGTATTTCCATTGAAAATCCACTATACGTATATCTTCTTAAATTCCCCTACAAAGAGAAATAATATACAAGTCTAACAATTACTTTTCATTACTCATAAACATAATGCAAACACGATTACGTATCTATATTCTCCTTCTTAACATGACTAATTGCTGGATCTTGGCGGTCCTGCATATACCAGTAATTATCATTAAGTCCCATGTACTAGACCGCTCACCAAAAAATCGCGGAATATTTAAAAAGAAAAATCATGCAAATCAGAGAGTATCGTACATTGTTTATGCTAATGTTAAGAGATAATGATTCTAGTTTCGTTTAAAAAATGTTCCTAATTACCGAGACGTGGCCATAATTTCCTTTGATTATGCTAATCGATGTAGATGATCATCGGATGAGCACAACCTTCACTTTTAGGCGTTGCAGTTTTTTCCCGAGCAGGGTATCATTAACTAAAGTCGTGCTGGTAATTATAGAGCGTAAAATGAATTAAAAAATGTGACGGATTTACCTTGCCATAGGAATGAGCAGATTGATTGGTCCTGGCTTGCCATCGACCAGTTTCGATCCTTGCTCGTTCCAACATTCCGGTGAGACGATCGACGTGAGACCACTCCCGCACGTCTTCGTTCTGAAACGGAGATCCGTCATTGTCTCCGATCCTGCTTGCCGACAATACCACTTCCATCTCCACCAGATCTAGGAGAGTTAAGAGTAGGCAGTCAACGAGATATGACAAAATCCCTGAACGCGAGCCGGCATTCACCCTGCAATACAAAGGATCGATGAGAATTGTACCCACGTAGAACTCGGAAATATTTGCATAAACATAGAATTAAATTAAAATCAAATTATGATAAAAGGGCAGATTTACAGAAATTATGCGAGATGACTTTACGTCCCCTTTACAATTTTTCATTCACGTCTATATGGAAACGAGTAGATATTCTAAATCGTGAATTTGTAAATAGTCTAATAAGCTCTAAAAGACCTCGGAAATATTTACATAAACAAAGAATAAAATTAAAATCAAATTATGATAAAAGGGCAGATTTACAGAAATTATGCGAGATGACTTTACATCCCCTTTACAATTTTTCATTCACGTCTATATGGAAACGAGTAGACATTCTAAATCGTGAATTAGTAAATAGCCTAATTAGTTCTAAAAGAACTCGGAAATATTTACATAAACATAGAATAAAATTATAATCAAATTATGATAAAAGGACAGATTTACAGAAATTATGCGAGATTTACGTCTCCGTTTACAATTTTTCATTCACATCTATATTGAAACAAGTAGATATTCTAAATCGTGAATTTGTAAATAGTCTAATAAGTTCTAAAAGAACTCGGAAATATTTACATAAACAAAGAATAAAATTAAAATCAAATTATGATAAAAGGGCAGATTTACAGAAATTATGCGAGATGACTTTACGTTCCCTTTACAATTTTTCATTCACATCTATATGGAAACGAGTAGACATTCTAAATCGTGAATTTGTAAATAATCTGATTTGTTCTTTTAGAACTTGAAAATATTTACACCAACATAGAATAAAATTATAATCAAATTATGATAAAAGGGCAGATTTACAGAAATTATGCGAGATGACTTTACGTCCTCTTCATAATTTTTCATTCACGTCTATATGGAAACGAGTAGATATTCTAAATCGTGAATTTGTAAATAGTCTAATTTGTAAGAACATTAATATTTTCGTAGACGTTTATTAAGCTCACGTAGAACACGGAAATATTTACATAAACTTGGGATAAAATTGATATGAAATTATGATAAAAATCTATATGAAAAGGAGGAGATATTCTAAATCGTATGCGAATGAGAGATACATTTTGTAAATTGTCCTATTTCTAAGTACATAAATGTCTTCCTAAGCGTTTAAATTAATTCCTTGCACGAGGTTATGTGGCTACCTTGGTAGAAAAATATATAAATATCTTTTATGAGATCTAGTTGGTATAAGGTCATTTTAAAATATTTTCCAATATTTAGATCAGACAAAGTCCCTCGATAATCAGCCTTTTGAATTCAGATCGCGCGTCCCATAGTTTGTAAGGCTGTGGACATAATTGAGACACCATGTCGGTGCGGAAGTCGCATAATGTCGCTGCTAATGAATTCATTGTCTGTATAAGAAGGACGTTTGTCTTCCAGTCCCCATTCTCTGGTTACTCCCCTCTTTAACATTCAGATTACATCTGTTGCGATGTAAACGGCGCATCGACTCGAGATGTTCTCTCCGAACCCCAACAATGAATACCAAACCCGATGATAAAGCGAGTTACAAAATCAGGCTTCATAGATAAAAAAAAGGAAAAAAAAATTAATCACATAAATCGCTTCCTGTGAACGCGTAATCTATATTGGCCAATTTATTGTTAAACGTCGAGAATCGATGCTATTAACCTTCCTCAATTTTGCGCGACGCAGTTATTCGTCATTACAATGATTCTTGCGTTCCCACCTCGCGTGGTGCAATCGATAATTGAAAAATCGATGTGACGAAATGGGAGAAGTGAGCCGAATTAAATAAATCGCATTTCCGTGTGATCGATCAGTCCAGGAACAGGCAAGATTCCTTGTTTTTCAGCTCGCGTGCGTAATATTCAACTTATTCAGGTTACATGCGTACCCACGTCGGGAATTCTTACGCAATGTGCATCGCTTATGGCTGACAAATAAAAATCCTGGACACTGCAATGATACGCAGCAAATCAACTAATGGAACGCGGGCATAAATCAGAGTCGCTGCTTGAAACACGAAGGACTCGCAGGTCCGATAAGCAATCGAAGACCATTTTAGTGTTTTCTGTGTCACTACTTCCGGCGATCGTGGACAAGACAAGCGGTTGTTAAGTGGAGCAAATGAATTTTACCTTTTCCTTCTAGGAAAAAAGGCAGCCTTCTTATGTAATATCCATTACATAAAAATCATTGATTTCTCTTCCACGTTTCGTTTGCCAGGAACTCCCGTGACTTCGAAGAGGCTAATATAAATCCTTCGCAATTCGGGCCTCGTATCTGTGCTATGTTATTAAGAAATTCCTGCAATTTACGCATTAAGGTGATGCGAAAGTGGCGTCACAGAAATGAAACTTTTCTCCAACTGGGTCTACCGAATCGATTCAAACTTTACAATATTAATATACAAGGCATAAGAAAGGTCCCAAAAATCATGAAATTTCAATTTTGTGAATAATTTGTTAATAGGTATTTTTTAAATTTCTTACAGAAAATTAAATTTCACGAGTGCCAGGACCTTTCCTTATAGCCTCCATATTCACATTGTAAGGTTTGAATCGATTCGGTACACTTATTCAGAGAAAAGTTTCATGGGCGATTAACTCTTTAGATGCCACTTCCACATCCCCTTAAGCAAGATTCCTTAATTTCAGGTTTATGTCCAAATTATACATTCTTCGATTTTAGAGAAGATTAAAAAATCGGTGCGTGGTCGCCATGTGCGTTGGAAGTAAAACTTCTGAGTTAAGGAGAATTATTAGATATTACTAATTCTTTGATTGCGAAAGACGTATATGTACGTTTAACATTTGGTCTACTATCGCATGTACTCGTTTACAAATTTCGCCCATACGTCAAAAGGGCTTAATCAAAGGGTTAATTATTTATTCACGTTCGGCAGTGGTTGGTTGGGCATAATCATATTTATTTTTCACTTTATTCATCATTTTTTATCATTCTAAATGGAAATAATTAACTAAATGAATAATGCACTGACATTGATATTTACGAAAATTATCTCGATCCTGCACAATAAATAAATATAAATACTGACGAACTGTGAAAATAAAATTTATGCAAATTATATCAATAATGAAACACATGGGAAAGAGGAACGTAGACAGCAATTAACTGTAAAAAAGAATATTTCACTTGCGAATCGGACCAATTTCACACATGCGAACTTACACGTACTATCATAAGAAGATTCACATTAAAGACCATATTTCATTTTTCTACCCACGTTATATTTTTCTAAAAATCGTGTGTATATATGTATTATTGAATTCCACAATTTTTACGAAATTCAGGTAAGCAAGGAATTAACATTCCTGAACATGTAACGTGTTACGAAATGGAAGTACAAACTTGAGGGACCAGACACGGGAGTAATGTCCCACCTGAAATCACTTTATGTCTTCTGAGTCACTACTTCCGGTCCATGGTCCATTTTCCCAACACCATTACTCTGGTGTCGTGTAAGGCGAATCTAATCGAGCTGAAAGAAGAAAAGCAATGAGGTGGTAAAGAGAGCTAACGTAATTGGCATGTCCGATTAACGGCTCTCAGGAAACGTTTCATTGCACAATGCTGTCGCATTGCGTGTACCCGAGTGACAGTCCCGGTAACAGCTGATACCGTCATTATTCTCAGTCCAAAAACCCCGATGCAGTTCAAATCCGACAAGCCTTTCATCGCCATATATTCTTTATCAAAAGACGAATCAAAAATCCTTAGGACTGAATTTCAAAAGATAAATAGTTCCCAAGATATTTAAGAACTTCGCTCTTTTAAACGTAACATTCTAAAACGTTTAGAAAATTATCTACAGATTCTTGTAACATTCCCCAAAGGACTTGACAATAGTAATATGTTAAAAAATAAGGGAACTATTTGTATCGTAATTAATATTTGTGTATCTTTGAATATCTTCACACATTACTGTTTGCAAAATTAATTAAGATAAATTATTTCCTTCATTTTGAAATTATTATGGAACGTAAATATATTATAGAATTCGAGGAAGTAGTCGATTTTTCGGAATATGAGGAGGGAGTTTTGGATTGCATCGCTTCAAGGAAAATTCTCTGTTAACTCCTTCACATTTACGTAAGATTTCCTTAGAGCGATATGAAAGTGGCATCTGAAGAAACGTTTGTGAAACTTTTCTCCAAACTGGGCGTATCGAATCGTTTCAAAATTTTCAACGTGAATGTGGCGACTCTAAGAACGCTCTTGACACCCTTGAAATTTCATTTTTCATAAATAATTAAGAAGAAAAATTTCATGGTTGTCAGGACCTTCCTTGTAGCCATCATGTTCACATTGTAAAGTTTGAAACGATTCGGTACACCCAGTTTAAAGGAAAGTTTCATAAACGAGACCTCTTTGATGCCCCTTTTATATCACCTTAATAAAGCAATGCATTAGAAAATAAGGAAACTATTTCTATCATTATTTAAGTTCACCTGTCATCACGTTTTACTCCGTTAAAAATTAATTAACTTAAACTTATTTATCCCTCTTCGAATTAAGCATTGAGTGTACACAGTATTATACGATTTCAGGTGGCGGTACATTTTTCAGAGTAAGAGGAGAGAGTTCTGGTTTGCATCGCCTCAAGGAGAGACGGTACTTAAGGGGATACTTTGCGAGGAGGTTTCGCGGTTTTCCTTCGTTTTGTGCCGAGCAGTTTCCAGTTAAAGACACCAGGGATAAGGGACGTGATAAATGGTTGAGTGCACTAAGAGACAGATGGGCTCCTCCTTGACGAGTGGGTGGACCATGGACGTGGTCCGTCGAGTCCGTTTCTTCGCCTTCAAGGACGATTCGCCTCTGCTTCTACCTCGAGAAATGCGCTGCCCACGAACAATGGATGCCTTCAAAATTGTGTAACCCGAGGCGCATCGGTCTTTGCCGTTCGAAACGAACATGCCTTTAAATTTTCTCAAGCTTCCCTCGATTCGCCCGATAACTGGGACAATTCGTTTCATT